GATTGACTCCAGCTTACTTTGTTGACAAGATGTGACAGGGAGTTTATTTAATTGACATTGAGGTAAATGTCTTAATTATAATGAAATATAAAGCATCCTGATGGATTGTGCTATTTATCATATACATTACATGCCTAATTATAGCCTAAGTGAGCATAGTGTTTAACATATATGCATGTGTGCAACTCATTGTTTGAATTGTTAAGTGTTTTTAAAGTTTATTTACCAATGTGTTTCTTACTGCTGTAGGTAAATAGTAATGTGATTGTTTTTGCCTCAAGGACAAATTCATCTGGCACTGCGTATGGCTGATGCTCCTCGGGTTGGTTAGTGGACAAAAAATACAATCAGTACAAGCAGAATAAACGATATTTTCTAAGGAATGTTCCGGTAAGAAAAAGGTAATCAAAAAACCCTGCTAAATGCAAAGTTGTATCAATAACTTTAACAAAAAAAATCAGTATTTCTATTTCATGGGCACTTTAAATTGATTTGGTAGATCTGCGTCAAATGTTCGAGTTTCGCAAAGTATAGCAACAAGTTGATAATATGTAGTTATTATTTTCACTGTTTTAACCCATACATTTAAATAAATTACATTTCTTATTGCACTTGCTCTGCGGAACATTATAGCATATGGCTCACTATGCAAAGAGATTAAATAAAATTCATATTACTCATGTTTTGTCAGATTTTATGTTTGCACAACATTGCACAAACATTTGGTCTACTTTTCCCAGAAATGTAACTTTCCGAAATGCATGGTTCATTCGTTTCTCAGTCCGCTTGTCCTGATAAGGGTCGTGGAGGCAGCATGTTGAGTCGGACGGTCCAGACCTCCCTTTCCCTGGCGACAGACTCTAGCTCTTTCTGGGTAATTCCCAGGCGTTCCCAAGCCAGATGAGCGACATAGTCCCACCAGCGTGTCCTGGGCTGGTCCCGGAGTTTATGCCCAATGGAACGTGCCTGGTAGAGTTCCAGGGGGAGTCTGTCAGGGGGGCATCTTTACCATGTACCTGAACCATCTCAACTGACTCCTCTCGATCCAGAGAAGCAGCCACTCGACTCTGAGGCCCTCCCGGATTACCGAGCTCCTCACCCGATCACGGAGAGTGAGCCCGGCAACCCTGCGGAGAAACCTCATTTCGGCCCCTTGTACCCGCGATATCATCCTTTCGGTCATTACCCAAAGCTCATGATCATAGGTGAGGGTGGGAATGTAGATCGACCTGTCACCGAGAACTTTGTTCAAGAACTCAGCTCCCGCTTCACTACCACGCAATGGTATAGTGCCCGCAACACTGCGGACGCCGCACCGATCTGCCAGCCGATCTCCCGCTCCCACTTACAATCACGCACGAAAGAGACACCGGGGTACTTTAACTCCTCCACTAAGGGCAGCTATTCCCCCCTCACCTGGAGAGAACAATCCACCGTCTCCTGGGAGTGAACCATGACCTCAGATTCGGAGGTGCTGATCTTCATTCCAGCCTCTTCACACCCAGCATAAAACCATTCAAGTTCATGCTAGAGATCACAGACTGACGAGGACGTCATCTGCAAAAAGCAGCGACACCACCTCCATGGCCCTGTAATACTCTCCATACCTCGGCTGTGCCTTGATATCCTATCCATGAAACTCACAACCAGAAGTGGAGACAAGACGCACCCGTGGTGGAATCCAACACCCACAGTGAACGACTTTGGTTTAACACCAAGAATACGGACACAGCTCTCACTCCGGGAATAGAGGGACCGGATAGCGCACAAAAGCGCCAAGGGTACATCATACTCCCGCAGCACCTCCAACAAGCCATTGCGGGGAACACGGTCATATGCTTTCTCCAAGTCTACGAAGCAGAGTTTGATTGGAGAAGCGTACTGACGATTGCTTGTGTTGCGATCGAAACGTCGTGATCTATTATTTTTCTACCTACGTGACTTTACCGAAAGAACCAAAGAGTATGGATTCCTGCAGCCAGAAAAGTTTCAAATCAAGATTGAACCGCCTCTACGGGGAGGATTTCCACACAACTATTAGATCTTTTAACAGACTGCGAGACAAGAAGGCTCACCTGATCGAGTCTCTCACCTTTCTGAAGAGATGCCGCAACACCAAGGTAATACCGATCGCCATTACACTCACATCTACTGCTGTCACTTCTCCTAACTCTAAACGGATCTTGTTTAGGGCCAGCCAAGCTCTAATCTCAGAGAGAATAAGATTCCTCCGATTTTAACTTGATAATTTAGACAAGATTCACTTACAATCACACTTAGAATTAACATATAAAATGTCCACATCTGATTGGGACCATGTAGATAACATGACAGTTTCTTCAGCTACTTCAATGTCAACCAAATGTAAAGTTAACTTGATTACTAAATTCAACCACCTGTCAAAAAAAGGCCAAAGCCACACGCTAAAGTTAGATGTTAACAAGATTGTCATCAATCATAGTAACATCCTAATTTTCGACAGCCTAAAATCGGTACTAGCTAAAGGGTTGAATTTCGCAGTCACCCCTAAACACATCCCAGTGGATGATATCATTGCCCAGGTCGACGGAGCCCTCAAAGGCTTGGGACACATCCCGGCAGACGTTGCTAGATCTGAAATCGCTGCTATCCTCAAAAACGCTAAGAAACATTAGCAACATCAGCAAGGACGAGCGTTTTGAACTCTCTCAATTAAAAAAACAGAGGTGACATTGTCATCCTCTCAGCTGACAAGGGCAATGCCACTGTCATCATGGATAAAACCACTACAACAACAAAATTCAGGACCTTAATGATGGTAGCTATACCAAACTCAAGAGATCCGACCAACCGCCTAGCTACAAAAAACTATCATCACTAATTCTACATCTCTAATCGTTTCGACCAAGCAGCGCTCTCTAAAACCTTCGGCTGCTAGACCACCCAGATTTTATGGCCTTCCATAGAGCCACAAGGAACGTACCCCACTCCATCCTATCGTCTCCACCAGTAACTCATCCACCTACAAACTGGCCCGATTTCTGTCTGAGACCCTGCTTCCTTTCACGGGCAAGACCACCTCAGCTGTACTTAACTCAGCTCGCTTGGTTTCTCTAATCAAGGACATCTCACTGTCTCCAGATGATTTAATTGTCAGTTTAGATGTAGTCTCCCTGTTCACCAAGGTACCTGTACCTGACACCATTGCAATCATTGAAGACTTAGTCCAACAGACCTAATCCAGGTACTGCCTTACCAGCACTTACTTCACTTGTAATGGTACATTCTACAAACAAAATGAGAGTACCCCAATGGGTTCTCCCTTATCGCCAATGGTAGTAAATGTTTTCATGGAGAAATTTGAGACAGATGCCATCCAGACATCCACCCTAAGTCCTTCCTTGTGGAAGAGATATGTAGATGACACGTTCATCATCTGGCCACATGGCCTGCCAGCACTGAACCAATTTCTCAACGACACATCAATTCCAAACACCCATCTATCAAATTCACAATGGAAGTGGAAAAGGATGGCAAGCAACCATTCCTGGATGTTTTGATCGAGAAGAGACCTGATTGCTCGTTGGGACACTGTCTACAGGAAAGCCACCCACACAGATGCCTATCTAAAGCCTGACTCCCACCACCATCCAGCCCAGAAGAAATCCCTCATCAAAAAACACTACACCATAGGGCCCGTTGCATCTCCGACCAGTATCACCTAGCCAGTGGGCTGGAGCACGTACACCAAGCCCTCAGGATGAACGGATATTCTGACCGTACAATCCACAAAGCTGTCTCCCCAGCCATGGGGAGACAACCATCTGAGGATCCAACCAATACCATCACTTTGCCATACATAGCAGGGGTTACCAAAATCTTAAACATACACAAGATCCAGGTTCGTTTCAACACAATACACAAAATCCGTGATTTGGTCCCATCTGTAAAGGATGTGATTCCTGATATGCAATACCCGGGTGTCTACAAACTGAGTTGTGGCTGCGGCAGCAGTTACATTGGGGAAACGAAACAACATGTATCAGAGATTTGTTCACGAAGCAATCAAGATATATAAACACAGACACAACTTCAACTGAGAAGATGGGTACAAACTGAGCAATCTTTGGAAGGACGTTATTAACCAGGTAAAGTCGTAACTGACTGTGATGTTTCCATCCTACCTGCCTATGTCAGCTGGTATTTCCGACTCTCTGTGTGTCTTTCTCTCTCTCTCTCTCTGTGCATCTCTCTCCAATCTCTAATCCAGTACTCCAGTGACCCGGGTGCTACTGCGGGGTCCACTTTCTGCCCCACCTCCCCCCCCTCCTTCTCTCTCCCCCCCTGCAGCCGATCTCTCCGGTGCTGCCGCGGTGGTCCACTTTACTCCAGTGACCCGGGTGCTGCTGCGGGGTCCACTTTCTGCCCTGCCTCCTCCCCCTTCTCTCTCCCCCCCTGCAGCCGATCTCTCAGATCTCTCCAAGTGCTGCCTCGGGGTCCACTTTCTGCCCTGCCCCCCCTCTCCCCCCACCTCCTCTCTCCCCCCCTACTGCCGAGGCCTATGTATCCTCGTGCCACGGCAGATCTCTCGCCTACTTCAGCAGTTTTTTCGTGCTGTGGTTGTCCCACCTGATGACGATTGCTTGTGTTGTGATCGAAACGTCGTGATCTATTATTTTTCTACTGACGTGACTTTACCGAAAGAACCAAAGAGTATGGATTCCTGCATTCACGAAAGCTTCAAATCAAGATTAAATAAAATTATTACATTATGTATTGTATAGGCACTCTCTCATGGAAAGAATGATTCAGGGATTAATTTCTCATATTTTCGGGGTTGCTGATAGACCCAAGTAGGAAAATGTGTAGTAGCGACGGCCATACTGGTGTGCCAGGTTGAATAAATATTTTCCGGGTTGCCAACCCAGACAGGATGCACTGAAACTAAGCCCCGAACTAATTCCTGTTAAAGGAATGCAAAATTTCCTTTGCTGACTCAGGAATTGCAATGGAGATGATGAGCAATGTTGGAAAAACTTGTGTTGTATGCAGTACTCTTATCCAGTTTACCTTGGCAGACACATCAGCTCGAGTTGAGAGTGAGGCACACTCCTTGCAGGATCAAGTGAGACGTGTGCTGGGAGGTGTGCAAGTCGGCTTCAAATACCAGCCCTTCTCCCATTGCGTTTCGTCTCATTGATGTCACGTATACGGGTGTTCGAAGAGTGTTCTGCGGTACAAGAGACACCATTTGCAGCTGAAGACACTTCATCATCATTAACACTGCTTTACGAATGAAAAATAAATATTTCTGTAAGCTAATGGCCTTCAGAGTAGAGAAGGAGGTGGACAGAAGATTGTGACAACAGACACAGCAGTGCATCACTTGTATTGTGGCCTATCAAGTTTTCATTTATACACCACTTCAAAATCTCTATAGCATATGCCGTCCTCTCCATGAAAGCTACCAGCACCAAAGCCACTCTCACCACCCAATTGTTTTCACAGGACAGATCATTAGCATGACTGTATTTGTCCAGTTTACCTGGAGTTTCAGTAAGTGCAACTGGGTTGGAATAATTTCCATAATTGGGAGCTCCACAACAAGCACTTTTGGTCTACTGCAAACCAAGCATCGTCTCTCTATGTCCCAGTCAGCTCCTTCCAAGTACAGGCCAGACACAAAGTAGCCTGGAAACACATCAGGCAACTGGATTAATTGTGGGCAATCAACGAAAAAGTTAAGGCATACGTGTGTGCTAGTAAAACAAAACTGCAGTCCCAGAAATAAAAAAAATAACATGGTCATTTTACAGAAAGTGTGAATTGACCTTGCCCTCGGCGTTCTGTGATCTCCTCAGCTCTGCGGTAACCAGTAACTTGTGTGTATAGGGTGGACCTGTCCAGTGGCCATGCATTTTTGTGGCATGTGGTCTGGACAAGGGCAGTCAGGTAAGACTCTGGAATGTGCAGCCCTGACAGCCATATCACATGTGGCTCTCCTTCAGATATCTATTCATAAGAGAAACATTTATTGAGATAAATGTTCAGTGCAAACCATGACGGAACGGTCAACAACGCTACTTATTAACAAAGTGGTGTAGTGTGTAGGGTTGGCATGCTTTCTCCCTATGTAACTGATGAAAAGTTCCTACCCATGATGAGTACTGGTCGTGTCTGCGCTTGAAGTGTATCATCCAGTTCCCAAGGCTCTTGAGCGTGTTGGGAGCAAGCTTCCTCCAAATAGCTGGGATCTCTCCATTGAACAGGGATTGGGCCAAGTCATCCAGCTCACTGCTCATGCCTACCTCACCAATCAGTGCCTGCAATGAAACAAAACAACCGTAAAGGTACTTTACTGATATATAATTATTTGAGGGATGCTACTACAGTGTGATGGTTAACACATTCGACTTGCGATCCAGACCACGCCAGTTTGATCTATCAGTACAGCAGTTGATATGGGGCAAGTTTCTGATATCCTCCCCACCTCTGTTCAGTATGAACAAGTACACCACAGGTAGTCGATCGAGTGTGGTCGGATAAAGTGTGGGTACTCCTACTTCTTCCAAGACGTCTGGGCAGCTTAGAATAAGCCTCAAACTTTATATTGGGGCAATCTAGAGCGCTCTCTAGAGGAACTCCTTATGTTAGCAAAGCAAGTAATCACAGTGCTAAACCTTTACATTATTTAATTTAACACGTAGGCTTTCACGACCAATATTCAAAATAGAGTTTTTTTGAGTTAGATCGCGTAAATATATAAATGGGTCGTTAAAACCCGCCACCACCCGACAAAGCCAACTAGTAAGGGTTGTCACGTAAACAGAACGTGCCAATTCGTCACTAGTACAGCGCACCGGTGTGTTGGAGAGCCAAGCCACAACATTTACAATGTTTTGCCAGTAATTACAACTAGCTTCATCAGGCAACAGCCAGATTTGTGGAGAAGTCTAACTGATGACCATTATTTAAGGATATATTTATTTAGGATACTTTTAAATGCCATTACTTTTAAATTCCAGGATACTTTTAAATTCCATTACCCGCTGCAACTCGTTGAGGGATCTGCCCATGCAGATGACAAGACGGTTGAAGCGCTGCAGCTCCTGGAGGAGCACTACAGTGGGTGGTGAGATGTCACTTCCCAGGGCCTTCCTGATGGGGCCCAGGTCAAACCTCATGGGCAGCCTTTGCTCAATGTCCCCGGACACTTGAGCAATGAAGTCCTCACGGTTTTCTCCGACACTCGTGTCTCCTAATGGTTTAAACAGTGTTCACCATTTTTTGTTGTCATCAAAATCACAAGATGATAAATGTGTGAGCACATTGCAGAGATGCACCAGTCGATCATTTACTTTGACATTTTTCCACTATAGCAGGATTATAGTCATGATCAGTCTCAGGGACAGGTATATGTACAATGTATATGTGCAATAATAATTTACACTCGTAATTAAGTATGTAACATATACTGTGGCATGATGATGGCAAGCCTTTTGTTGTCTAGAAATTGATATATAAAAAGCCTATTGTGTGAAACCAGTGTTTTTATGAGCACCTTCACTGCCAGTTACACCTTTGCTATCCAGTGTGAATACTGGTCACGTGGTCAGAGAGACCAATTAGGTAAATACAGGTGGTCTCCGGTTTACAACGGACCGATTTACCATGATTCACATTCACGACGTTTATGTAATGCCACCATGGATTGATTCACGATACAGAATCTTGATTTACGACGCATCTTCGTGACATGACTCCGAAAATATTCGAACAGCTAGTCTGGTTTCCAATGGGACTTGGCATCATTCATTCATAACGTATAGTCAGCGAAGGACCATTGCGCCAAACGTGTGACCTCTTGCGACAGCATTCCCGTAAGCTGCGCTTGCTGCCCTACAAATGACTTAGCGTGGAGCTTTTGTTATTCTCAAGCGTTTTTTTTTGTGGATTTTTACAATTAATCCCTGTTAAATAGGGCTGATAAAAGGAAAAACACATCGGCAGCTGATGTTTCTGTTTCTACTGTCTATGGGAAAATAGGGTCCGATTTACGACGGGGTTTTTCGAGGAAAGCATTGTCATAAAAGCAGGGACTGCCTGTATACAGAACAAGTACTGTATCTACCAAACTCAATAGTTAATTTAAATTCGCTCTTATATGACAAAATTGTATAACATACTTTACTTCATAATGCAACTCCGATTAGCACGGTTGGCTAGATATGGTGCAAAGAAGTTCAACATACATACATTAAGCGAAATAACAATGCTGATCGGTAGGAGATGGAAGGAGCCTGAGGAGTTTGAGAGGTTGTGGGGATAGTGTCTAGGATCTCTATTTTCCAAGGCAAACACATTCACCCATGTCATTTTAAATGACACAACGACATGGCGTCATGATTCCCTGACAGATTATCACCCCCAGATGTCTTTATTGACCGTGTACAAAGGCTGTGCACACAATTTATTGCCCTGACGTGCACTAAAAGCAATGACACCCTTGATTACCAGTTTGTGGTTGCAGTTCCACCAGGTACCTCCACATGTCACATGCTGCCTGGGTGTAGTAGCCGATCTCTGCATTTGGGTGCAGCCCAAACACTTCTGGTGTGTTCGCAAGAGGCATAGATTCAATTGCATCTATGAAAAAATGAAAAAGGTTTGGCCTGTAAAATCTAAACTTGCCGAAGTTAAAAGTTCCAAGGTTGCTGCATGTCTTTAAGAGGGATGATATCGATGTTAAGACATCGAGCTAGCACCTCTGTTTTCACCATGTAACAAGCAACCTCTCAGAGAACAGGTACCCATACTAAGGCACTGATCCAGTTCAATGTTTCTCAGCTCATGTCTATGGTATGGATTATTTGATCACATATAAGACATTTAATTCGTCAACCAATATGCCTGAACGATTTGTTTAAACCTAAGACTGAAACTAGTCTTATAAGCAAATTCTGGCCTGTTAAACCGAAACTGGCTATGCTGATGATCTGTACATAAGCAGGCACCCTACAACGTAGAAAATAAACAATGAGCTGTAGTGGTCCATAATAGAGGTTTTTTGGGTTGGATCGCATAAATATAATTGTGTTATTAAACCTGCCACAGCCAGTTAGTATTTGAATTGTAAACGTTGTGGGTTTACTCTCCAACACATCGGTGTGCTGAACTAGTAACGATTTGGCAAGTTTTGTTCACGTGACAAACCTTACTAACTGGCTGTGTAGGGTGGTGGCGGGTTTAACGACACATTTATGCTTACGCAATCTAACCCGAAAAGCCTCCATTATGTATATTGGTCACGAAAGCCTACTACGACGTGCTAAACCAGCTGTAGTGGTGTTTCGAAAATTGGGGAAAAAATGTGTTGACGTTCGCAACTTACCAATATAGCTGTCATTGGGCCCAATGGGTGGGATTTTGTAGTCGACATGCTCATTGTGAAAAAAATGGAAGGGCTGATAGGTGTCGAAGACAAAGTCTCCCAGGTACTCATCCAAGTACGTGGTCAGAATTCTCTGATCAAAACTGTCTAAGACACGGCCTCCATACACCACCTGTGCAACAACATGCAGCATTAGAAAGGTACAGTGCACATGACCCATCGATATGTATTCAAATGCAATCGCATACCGAGTATAGAGTTTCATCAGTGGACATGTCCTTAAAAGGAATACATAAAAATACCCACCTGGCCTATCAGGTACTTGAGGTTGTCCCAGGGAATCTTGCCTTGAACTCGCTGGTATGCCTTGGTTAGGTATGTGTTAAGAATTTCCATGCAAACCTATGTACAGACACAGGTGTTTTAAAGCTTTTATAATGCTCATTACTCCTTATTTTGAAAAATAATGTAAGATTCCTTTGTTTATAACCAGGTGTGAGCCCAATGTTGCAGGACGTCCCTTATGTCAGGAAGCCCGGGGTAAAATACAAGACAAAGGTCAAAACGTTTTACCAAATTATAACAAAAAATTGGTGCAAAACAAGTTTAAATAAAATATGAAAATTGGCTAATCAACAGTTGTGCCAAACTAGTGCACTATGTACTAATGCAAACATTAAAGCATAAATATTTTAAACAAGCTGGCAAGGCAATCCATTAAAAGGATTTTGCCATACAAAGACATTTCTGCAACAAACAAGCAATAAAACATGAAAATGAATGCACACGTTGGCACGCAAATACCAATATGCACGTATTCCATGCACACACATGCGAATATCATATCAGTACACAGAATTTAATTAGAGATTTCCTTAAAAAACGCTTTTTCAAGGTATTTTATTGCGAATTTTTCCAAAAAGTATGTGGATTTGGAAAGAGGTATTGGTAAGTGGGGTAGTAAATTTTGTAACAATTGGTTTATGGGTTCGTAGTTGTTGTGGCATGTTATGTGTCAGATATGTCATGGGCATAGCAACCACACCATCGTGCTACCCGTAAAACACACAAACAGCATTGTAAAGATATTTGCACATTCGTTAAAACTATAAGAGCAATAAAACGCATGTTGACAAACAAAAAGTAAACCACACCTTATAAACTCAACAAAAACAACCTTATACCATAGACTCCTGAATAATAAACTGGATGCCTTATCATTACTATATGTTTCTAATGACCTCTTCCTCGTGCATAGACTAATAATAGGGGAGAGGAGTACAGTGAGTTATATGGAGATCCTGGGCAACAGCGAGGGAATGGGGGCACTGGAAAGAAGAGGGTGGTGAACCCACGGAGTGTCATGGCTCATAGCGGACTGATAGCCAGGGCTCTGGGGCTGATTCTGGGTAATTCCTGGGTTGGTACTGGGCTCGCAGAGCCTGCTTCTCAATCCAGTACTGCATAAGTATGATCCATGCTGTCCTAGTAGACATTATCATCAGCCATGATTAATCCACTGCTGGACAAAGGCCACCCCAGACTCTCACCATCTCTCACAGTCCTGCGATGTATCAATCCACCTAATCCCTTTTCCAGGACGTGGATCAAAATTAGAGGGAGGGATATGGTGGTCACCTGGAAGTCAGACCGATTGAAGTTGTAGGGGACGTTCCAGCCAATCTTGCCGTACTTGCGACGCTCCTGCACGACGGCGTGGAAGAAGGCAAGCGTGAAGACGAGATGGCGGAAGTCAGGGTGGGGGCAGTCCGACAGTGCCTGGTGCGACACCTTGAAGTACGTCGCCCTCAGGTTCAGCTTCAAGCCACTTGGGGGCTCCGTTACGACCTGGTGCGCATTAAGGCACAAAACAGCGAAGCACAATAAATCAAGACAGATTTTTTTTAAAGTTGAATAAAAATCAAATGAGTTTTCGTGTTGTCTCGCATGTCGTTCGGCATGATGCTCAAATGTTTTGTTCCATGTGTTGGGAGTGTTGGCGTGATGATTAGCACCCTGCCGGTAGTCTACAATAACCAAGACCTGTGTTTAACACATGGCTGGTATATTGGCAATTGGTATCGAAACCCAGCCTTGCCCTCCATAGCTTAAAATTAGCAACTGACACGGTATGTCACCACCAGCAATGGTTAGAAGAAAGGTCTGAACAGTTGTAGTTTTTTTTTTATGCTTAAGAGGAATTGTATCCTAAAACCATCGTTTTATCCACACCACAAATAAGAAAAGCATTATCACAGATAACAAAATTAATACTCCTTTAAGCCACTGATTTGCTTATCTCTATCATGGTGCCCCAATACCATTGCAGGTAATGAATGTTTGTACTTCAATAGAGTATATCAAGCATTTCTAGATTTAAAGCTTTCGTAACTGCAAGGATCCATACTCTTTGGTTCTATTCGGTAAAGTCACAACACAAGTGGCCTTCATCAGGTGAAGGGACGAGACTGTCTGGAAACCAGCGCTGGAGTGCTGTCCTCCAGACAGTCTCGTCCCTTCACCTGATGAAGGCCACTTGTGTTGTGGCCGAAACGTCGTGAGAATATTATTGTGTTATTTTATTTTATCAATTTATTATTTTATTCTCATTCTACGTGACTTTACCGAAAGAACCTAGGAAGATGAATCCTTGTAGTCACGAAAGCTTTAAATCAGAACATTGAAAATTTGTTTAATGTTTGGTTTGATTCAGAACATCTTTCCAATGGTTGCTTAATATGAAACCATCCTCTCAGTTGAAATTGTGTCTGTGTTTGTAAATCTGAATTTACATCGCATATCATGTATGTGTATACATGCACAACCCTTTAGTCAATCCACTTCTAGATGAGATCCTCCCCACACTGGATAAGTAATGGTGTTTATTTGCCATACTTCACCACAATGGTGAGCGAGGGTACGGTTAAGACGGGCAGCACAGACATTGGATTACAGTAGTACAGTACAACAATGGATGTGTATGTACTGCCTTATGCTGACACTGTAGCTCCACCAATTAAAGCTTGTATTTTATCCCCAATCTATTGTGTGCTTTGCCTTGAGAGATTTCCGCAGGATGCCAATGGGGAAGAGGGGAGTTGGCTCCGTCGTGAGCCACACACGCAGGTTTGGGTGTGGGTTGTGCAGCTTGCCCAGGACCTCCTCTAGATCTCTGAGCCACCTCACCAACAGGTGGCAGTTCTGCAGCATCAGCCACAGGCCCCGTGCTGCTGCGTGCTCCAGCAACTTTAGGGCTACCTGTGTACGCACAAGCAACGCAGTTACAAACCCACAATTGTACAATGTCAACCCACAACGTATAATTTCATTGTTCGCCTAAAAAAATCACAATGTAGCATGCACATTTTTATTAATCCGAAATGAGAGACTTATGATGCTAACGGTGAATGGGCCTTCGCCCCATGCGGACTCCCTGGGACTCGTTGGTGTTGTTCTGGCTGCACCGGCTGTCCCGGGGGGACGTTGTTGGTAATGGACTCTGGTGCAATTGCATTCAGATGGTATGTAACCTGAAATTGTAAAAATCTAGGTGGTACTATGTAATGTATATGCTGGGCATTGTGATACATGTTTGTCATCTTGCACAACTAAACTGTAGGGTTATAAGATGGCTCACAGATGGCAGTACAAGTGAGGTTGTTGACCTATCCGTACATATTCATGTTGGGGTTATAGCCTCCTCTATAGGATCCAGTTCACCTCACAAGCAAAAAAAAAAACATTGAAAGACTACACTTATTATTCTGTTTTTAAAAATGCAATTAACCAGCCATTCATCAATGCTTCTCTCTTGGGAGGCTAGGGAAACATCATTTGCACTTTCTAAAACAGGAAACCACCTTCTCCTGGCCTTGGCCCATGGCAAGGATTCGCAGGTGCTTCCTGGTGAAGCCCAACTGCTCTGCCAGCTTCTTCAAGTCACTGGCGGGGTTAGCACCAGGGCTCAGAATGAATATGATGGGTGACGCGGAGCTGCTCTGGTCAAAAACATTCTTCATGTTGACGACGGGTGGCTGCACGTACCTGCAGCACAGACGTGAAAGAGACAACATTCGACCACCTCTGTGTAACAAGCAACTCTGCATGTACTGGTGACGCTGTGATAATAGCCCAAGTTCATTTTTCTGTGCAGGTGCCTTGAGGTTAGCGTGACTGCCACTCGATCCAAAGATCGGCAGTTCAAATATTGAACTTGTGATAACGCTGCAGGGTTATCACGGAGATACGTGTGAGAACTTATCCAACTGAGTCGTGCAGTGATTACAGAACACAGCTCGTAATTGGAAGGTTCTGAGGTTAAAATCCTGGTGGCGGTTGACACAAGCCCTCTGTCCTTCTGGAATCAATTCAATCAGTACCGCTTTGAAGGATGTCAAAAGTGGTTTGGAGATTTTACCACTTATCCATTGATGTAAACAGGCAATTAACTTACTACATCTGTTTCAGCAGGAAATTTACTTTCACTGATGTTTACAATGCTATTTTAAAAAAATCCTACAACCATCAATTTAACATATAATTTAACATATATATTTATTTTGTATATTTGTATTATTTTATTGTTTCCCTTCTACGTGACTTTACCGAAAGAACCAAGAATATGAATCCCTGCAGTCACGAAAGCTTTAAATCAAAATATATAGGATACCTTACTCCAAGTTACATAAACTAGAAGTCACCTTTAGAAACAGTACTGCACCAAGACGATACTTGGTGTATGAGTAACAATGCTGTTGCTGCAATGCAAGTTTGATTTTAGGTGTATCTGCAATGTGGCTTGGCATGCGTAGGCTCACTTCTCGCCCATGGTAATAGTGATATAGTCAGTGATGGCACGGATCATCCGGTCCACGCGGAAACAGCGTAGGTGCAGCAGACGCTGGAACGCCGTCAGGCTATTCTTATGCTCACAAGGGATTGTCGCCTGTTCTGGGGCATCCAGATCAAACCACTGATGTGCAAATGGCACGTGCATAGGAGGGTTAGACACAACAGTGCCACAAACATAATAACTGCACATGCAGTGCAAAGCTGGGTTCACATCATGAGGGCAGATTGTACAGATGCTATTGCTATAAATATAGCACTTTAAATAAATAAACAAGCAAGGCTTTCATCCTAAGAGCAGACAACACAACATTTAAGATTATGCATTATAACGCTGTGAAGTGCCATGGCATTCAGGACTTACTAAATCAATAAATGCATATCCTTATTTGCTGACCATGAAACTCTTTATTACTATAGTCACCAAAATGAAGATGCCCTTGATCCTTGATTACATTATGAATATGCACTTCAAAGTGCTTGTGACACTTGCTTGTGATAAGAAACTATTTCAAGACCAGCATTTACAATTCTTGGAAATGAAAAATGAGTATCGTTCAGATGCACTCATTTCTCAAACCGCGCTACCGACAAAAACAACTGAGCGAAATCTAATGTGGAAAGCTTGTCAGATAATGCGTAAGCTTATACTCACAGCCTTCCAGTCCACTTCGTGTGTCTCAATATCCCCTGGAAGATTCGAAAAAGCCTCAGGGGACACTTCTGCTAATTGCACCACGTCCTCCCAGCCCTGGTCAGGGATCCAATCAAATGGCTTCTGCCTTTTACTCCTCTCCTGGGATATGTTTCCTGTAGGGTACATTTAATAATGTAAAGTTATGAGAGTCTCCTTCTGCACTATTTATACCACACAAAATGTTAATCTTAGGTAATATTACACTTGGTTTTTTACCAATTAAAAACATGTCACAAATTTAACTCAGACTCAGGTGATAATTAAATGTTGTACCTTTCAGGAAGAAATCCAACTCTCTCTGAGGCACCTGACCACCTGCCTGCTGAATCTTGAGTGTCATATTAAATGAGAATAGCAACTTGTGGTTTTCAAACAGCCCTGTGAAACATTTGACAAACTTCAAAACCATAATTTATACAGCTAAGAAATAAAAAAAATAATTCGATGGCAAACAACACTAAGCCAGTAGAGCAATCACAGCTGCTCCTTGGAAACTGGAAAAATATAATAAAACACATGGACATAATAAAATTAACTGTCACTGCATTCAACAGAATATGATAAATGTGCAATATTTCAAAGGTCTCTTAAATGAAAACTCGATTGGCAGTAGGATAAATGATTTTTACGATGTTTTTAAGTTAGTGTTTAGCCTATGATACATTAAGCAATGAGAATGGCCCAAGTGATCAAGACCAATTTTAGACTCAATTAAAACCAAGTGGGCAAATCTGTACAGGATTTTGTGTAAACATAAAAATAATTCCTAACATTGTGGATTAAAAATAGAGTATGTTAACACACCTGGCATGGACAAATTAACATGTGTAGATTCCTTTGTGAATCTACTGCTGGATGAAGGCTAGTCAAGGAGGTCGTTTGACCTTATTTCACCACGTTTGTCAGTGCGGGTTAATGAAGAGGAGGCCAATGCAAAGTTTGAATATCACTTTCTGGCAATATTTGCCATGGCTGGAAATCAAACTCAAGTAGACAGTAAAGTCACGTAGAAGGGAAACAATAAAATAATATAAAACAATAAAATTCTCACGACGTTTCGACTGCAACACACGTGACTTTACCGAAAGAACCAAGAATATGAATCCCTGCAGTCACGAAAGCTTTAAATCAAAATTCAAGTAGACAGGTTTGTATCACAATGCGCGAAACACAGCACCAATGTTGCACCACTTAAAATGTATATACGCTCTATCTTTAGCATTCAAGATGATTTATGGATGGTAAAGAATACTTGTTTTAAATTCAGGTCATTTTCTGATCACACTCAATAATGCAAACTAGATTTGCTATGTTTTACACATTTTTGAAGTGAGGATTTAAATTCCAAAGGGGGTCTCAACGTAGGTATACTGTAATTTAATTGATGAAAGTCCCTATCAGGCCATGGATGGTGTGGGATGCACCTGTGCAACCATAGTTGTAGACTCTGTAAGTCAGCGCATCCATGATGTTTTGCAGGCGCACGCCGAGGTTGCTGTCTGGGATTGAGTGGCGCAGAGAGTACCTGAAGACTCTCAGGAAGGAGGAGAGCGAGTACTGGTACATCCTGTTTATGAGGGCCATTTCTGACAGGCCGAAGAAAAGAATTGCTCCACGTTGAGCAGCAGGGCGATACCCGTTGCGCAGGATGTCAATGTCCACAGTAGTTTGCTCTGCCAGGGCCAGTTTCTCGGAGACCTGCCACAAGGTGATGATCACACATTGCACCTGTACACTCTTTGATAATGCTCAAGTAGCCAACCCTTAAAGTTGACTTGATACCGCGTGCAAAAGGCATAATGACCACAAGGAATATTGTGATTCTAAAGCCAGAAAATATGACATTTAGTAGGACCCAAAGAAGCTCAATGTGGCTTAGGATTCAGGGAAATAATAGCCGGAATCAATTTGGATCAAGTCAATGTAGTGAGTGGAGCTAAGCCTTCAATCACTACAACACAGGGTGAGTACAGTATTCACATGCTTTTCTCTCTACATGTCTCGTTTGTCACCCTTCCATCTCCACTCTATACACCTCTCCTCTCTCTCGCTTGAGTGCATTTATTTCCTGCCTCTTCGATCTGATCTGAATACACCTTCTATCTCGAAAAAATGCATCTCTATCCTATTCTCTTTTAAATGCATCTCTTCTAACATGTCTCTCATATATTTATTATCTCTCATTTCTTATGTCTCATATAAATGTATCTCTCTTCTACCATATATCTAATATCTGCTCTAAATGAATCTCTTTCATATCTTAACCCTTTTCTATATTGTCTCAATGAATCTCCTTTATCTCATCTGAATTCATTCCTCCTGTAATCTCTCCTATCACTTAAGGATACATATGAAAAGCATGAGAGACATGATAGACAGAAATAAAACACGAGAGACACTAAGAGGCATGAGAGAAACAAGCACGACACAATAGAGAAATTATAACTGAGAAACGTTTAAAAACATGAGCAGAGACACGATGAGAAATACATGAACGACAGATGTGAGCAGGACACGAGAGAGACAAGAGAGAGAGACGAGGTGTGAGACGACAGAAACGAGGCAATAGACACAGACGAAGAGGGAGCCAAACTCCTGTCTGTGCCAAGGAGGTGGCGAGGTGGAATCATAATGTGAGGATACGAAGGAGACTGTGGAAGAGTTCAGTGTCGATAGGGGTTAATGTTAGGGCTCATGGTACATTTGATTTTTTTAGTTTTGGTGTATTTGATAAAAGCATAATTTAGTTGCTATGTAAAGTATTGGGATAATCGCGTTAACACGATCTTGATAATGGGAATTACGTTTAAACCCAAAGCTTTAGCAATATTTAACAGTGTTATGCTGTGCTCATATCTACTGGTGATCCTGAGCGAGTGATGTAAATTAGACATATCTATGATGGAGATCAGCCTCTCCTTAGAACAACCACTGTTCTTCTGACCTTTTTATTGACTCAAAAAAGAGCTGATGTACTGAGTCGACTCCTCACTACAAATTTAACTCACAACCTTCCAATTGTGAGCCACAATGTCACTCTGCCACCCAGGAAAACACCCAATCAGGCACATGCTATATGCAATTGAATGTAAGAGATTGAACGCGACGCCTATATACAGTATTTGGAGTTGTCATGTTCTCCCCGTGGTTGCGTGGATTTTTCTGCGGTCCTCAGGTTTTTTCCTCCACATTTATAATCAACATGCGTTTAGAATATTTGGCTGCTATAAATTTCCACATGATAAGCCATTTCTTTGAGCTATCATTTGTGGCCAGGTTGCTTCTAAAAAAGAGCTGTATAGCTCAGTGGGCCTTACCTGGTAAAATAAAAAATAGTTAAGTTTAAATGTGGAAAGGTGAACTGTGATACAGTGTGAGGACTACAGTACCCTTCTGTTCTTTGTGTAATTCTGCAATCTTGAGGTGATCGATATTTTACAGGCGGTTGGCTACATACTTGCAAATGTAAGTTGTTGTTATAAAACCCTCATGTTGATGATTTGTATTAGTGCTGTCCCAGATGACTATGACTTTGTGTTGGAGCAAGTTGAGCAATGCGGTGCACCTCGGTGGCTTTGGCCTTGGTCTCATCGAGCGTCTGCACTAGCTGTGCGTTGTCCAGCATGTTCCCTGTGGACGTGATGAGCTCACGGAGAAGCGAGTTCTCCAGCTCCTTTAGCAGATTCTTGCTGGAGCTGGTCTCCTGGACGAGGCGCTCACGCTGCTCCTCCAGCTCCTTCCGCTCAAAGTCCACGATCACGCCAAGCAGTTGATCTTCCAGACCCTTCATCGTCACTGACTCACAAACATGTGCACGAGTTCGTTTCAGCTTCGCACAATCACACGTGTAGGGTGATGCTCAGTGGTAGAGGGAGACACTGGTGGGCTCTGCACTTTTTCAAAAGAGGAACAATTATTTATTTCTCCCGGTCTTCTGAGATCTTGTTTGGCTTACACACCAATGTTAACGCTCTACATGTCCACGCACTGGCGGAGCCAGTGGGGTGGGGTGGCACGTGCCCCCCAAATGATCATTGGGGTTTATTAGTAATAAATCGGTATTTTGCGACCCCCACTGCCACTGTGTAGCATATTATTATGTGCCAGGGACTCTATGAGATGATAGGACAATAGTCCATAATTTGCAATAAGTAACGGCAAAGCAGTTATAAGTGACTCACAGAATTGTGCGCAGATGCTTATACAGTACAAGACTTAACTGAAGGCAAACACCTTCAGCGAGCGCGATGCCGATCACACACGGTTCGAATTCGACCCTTGATCGATGGCTGCGCCATCGCCGCACACGCGTCGAACAAAAAGGGACAAGTCCTTACTTACTAACAACTCCTATCATTTTTCAATGCTGGAGGGGTTGCTCCCCCTACCTGAAAATCCTGGCTCCGCCATTGTGTCCGCGAGCAAGTTTGACTTTAACCAAAATTATTCGCGCTTCGTGGGCCCTCTAGTGTTCGTGGAGGGCTCTCGCTTGTGGCAGTCAACATGCGCGCCATTCAAAATGACTGCTCATGAGACTTTCAAAGTCGAAACTAGTCCAAGATGTATCTGCCTAAACAAGTGCTGCTGGAATACATAAACTAAAATGCCATGTTGTGAGATAGATGCTCATCTGTTGATATTAATCTATTATGTATGTTGAACTTATTTCGCACCGTACGTAGCCAACCATGCTAATCAGAGGTGCGGGGGAAGGACAACAAACTAAACACAAAAATCAGTTTTAAAGAAATGAGTTTTCATTCTAGATTAAAAAGTGCATAGGTCCAGTGGCTTCCTAATATCGGAAGAGCATTCCAGACGGCCGCAGAAATACATGTGAAAGTGCGATGTCGTGACCATATTTTTCAATGACCAGCCAAAAGCCGCTGCGAGGATGACCGGAGCTCGCGTGATGGTTTATGTTCCTTGACGAGATCAGCAAGGTATTGTGGTTCATTTGTGGCAAGCACTTTGTGTGTAATGAGTGCGACCTTATAATGTATTCATGCAGCAACCGGAAGCCAATGCAGCAATTATATGATGACGAGTTTTCAATGTTTTGTTGACTAAAAGCAAATAATTCTGGTTGCAGAGAATGTATAAAAGAAGATTTGAGCTGTTAAAGCATTCGATGTAAAATTATGTGATTGCTCAAGAATGTGCATGAAGGCACTCAGATTTGTATGCAGTTAACAGAGACCATACCATGTAGGCAAGGTGACGTGTTTGGTATTCCTCACCCACACTGTGCAATCTTGTGTTTGATGTTATGCTCATTTTACATGATGACGAAAATACAGGTTGTTACGGTTAGGATTTCTGCGTCTTCATCTAAGGTGTCAATAGAAATTGAGAATGGCTTTAGCTAGTAATATGCGTTATGCAGGGTGTTGTGAGGTCAAGAGATGTATGGCGTTTGCAAGATAGTTTTTTAATGGGCTACATAAACCAGTTTGAAAGAGTAGAGATCAATTCTTTTTTTTTAAATATGGGTGTTTGAGGAAGGAGTAATGTTTCTTTTACTGTTAGGTCCCCTGGGCCAATGAGCTGAACTTTTACAAAACAACTAAAAAGATATTTGTTTCCCATATGCATATACATGTGTGTGGCGGGTGCGAGGAATTTAAATACAGGTTGCGTTAACTTGTAAGTTTGTATTAGATTGTGCAAAATAAAGTTTTGCAACAAAAAAATCAGGTTGTGACAAGTTGGGCACATGCATCAGATGCAGGAGGGCAGGTTACCGATCAAGGCATTAAAGTACCTCGGGGTCAGATGGTGGGGTACTGTAATAGTTGACCTTAAAGGCTGGGTACTGAGTGTGTAAGAATTTGGCATGAAGCAGAAAGATCATTTTAGTGGGATGTGCTGGCATTTTGAGCATGAATTTTACAAATATAGGATTTTACTTGTTACTCTGGGATTTCATTTGCACACAGTAGCCTACTATGCACCTTGGGCAGTCTTTAACATCCACTTTAATCAGAAATTTTTACAGCAAACTGCAATGTTCTTGTAAATACCTCTTCTAAAGGGAACCTTAAGGTCATATACAGCAGTTTTCCCACCTGTGTAGTTGATGACCATGGTTTTGCTGTAGACTGATGGTGAGTACTTGGGGTTTGCAAGCTTGGTGTTGAGATAGAGCCTAAAATTGGGATCAAAGTCCACTTCCCTGTCCCCGAGGACAATGAACTGGCGTCCCTGCTGCACTTGGACATTCCGCGTGATCACGTTGTCCACCACGGGGTCAATGAACTCATCCACGTCTTCGAAGAGGCATGGGAATCCGTACTTGAGGGCAAACTCCAAATGGTTTAGGAAATCTGGGTTGTTGAATGATGTCACCTGCATGATTACCAGCAAACAAATCAGTAAAAAAAAAATCCACGTTCTAATTATTTTATGCATTTAAAAGCAAAGCTATGGCCAGACACGTCTGTCAAGGTGTGCAATGTACCATCATCGTTCATCTATGTGGCTGCAATACTAATGAATGATACTATTCTACAAGGGCTATAAAACTGAAATTTGTCATATAGTTTAGTTTATTCTTATCTCCAGAAAAATCTAAAATACAACATATTTTCATTCAGGCAAGACATAGTCACAAAAGGTAGACAACTAGGTGACCAACTATGGGGTATGCAGCGAATGCGATGCATAGGGGCCCAGTCGGCCACAAGGGGACCTCGAATCAACAGATAAACAAGTAAAAAATTGGTAAGAAAAATTATTTTAAAAAAATATTCCAACAATCTTACCTATAAAAGTAAATTTTTGTCTGTCTGTGTGTCTGTCTGTGGACACACCTTGTGACGCATTTAACTCACAAACTGCTGGCTTTACGTTTCAACAAACTGCAAACGTACAACGTGATAAGCCTCCGACCGACAAATCGCAATTTCTTTTTCCCATCCATCAAATGTAAAGTAGTTAAATTAACAATTTATTACTATTTATTATTATATTACTCCGTTGAGCCGCGCCAAGGCACGCATCTGCGCATGCGCGAGAACCCTGATTGGTTTCCCGAGCAGCGCACATACGCAATCAGTGGGGGTGGGGAAAAATTCTCATTCGCGTTAAAAATGCAAAAATAATACACAGAATGCCGAGGTAAATTCTTCACAGTGTGATGTCCGGGGGCCCTCCATGGGACTAGGCCTCACCACGGCACTTTGTATAGTTTCTAGATACTGCTATAGAGTCGATACGACTAAATCGTCGGTACATACTTCTGTAGAGTAGGTAGATATTACTGTAGAGTTAGTATATACTGCTATAGAGTTAATGGATACTATTGTAGAGTAGAGATGTACGCAGTGCGTGCAGTTGAGCGGGTGCAATTGAGGACGAGCAGGTGTGCGCGTTGGGGCAGGTTGGCGCTGGAGACACAGGAGATGGGGGCGATGATCAGGGATTAATGAGTGCGAGAGGCGCCGTGGAGGCGACAGCTTAAGTGGGAGCACGTGAGGACTCGGGATGAGGAGGGGTATATAAGCGGGAGTGTGTGTGAGCAAAGTTGAGTTGTTCGGGGACCAAGAGAGAAGACATCTTGCCACTGCTGCTCGAGCCATCAACGGGACCTCGCCCCTCACGCCGTCGCCGGGTGGGTGTTGGCTGAACCCGCCGCCCGGGACAGACGGTACGGGGCAGCGTAGGAGAGGGCAGCGGCGAGATAGGAGAGAGTAGGTGATATGCAGAGTAGGTGAGGTGCGGAGTAGATGAGAGCGGGTAGTAGGAGAAGCAGAGTGTGTGGTGACAGTGGAAGGCAGTCATAGGAGTGCCTACAACGGGTGCAAGAGTACGATTAATAAAGTGTACGCAGGTGACCTGTTATATAGTCGATAGATACTACTACAGTCAGTAGATACTACTGTAGTGATAGCAGATGCTGTTATAGTCAGTATACACTACTGTAGTGATAGCAGATACTGCTATAATCAGTATATACAGTATATACTACTGTATAGTAGATACTACTATAGTCAGTATATACTACTGTAGTGATAGCAGATACCGCTAAAGAGTTAATAGATACTGCTACAGTCGATGGATATGATTATAGAGTCGGTAGATACTACTACAGTCAGTAGATACTACTATAGTCAGTATATACTACTGTCGTGATAGTAGATACTATATTGTAAGTATATACTACTTTAGTGATAGTAGATACTACTATAGTCAGTATATACTACTGTAGTGATAGTAGATACTGCTATCGAGTCGGTAGATACTGCTATATAGTTAGTAGACCCTACTATAGTCAGTATATACTCCTGTAGAGTTAGTAGCTGCTGCTATAGAGTCGATATATACTATTATAGAGTCGGTAGATACTACTGCAGTCAGTAGGAACTACTGTAGAGTCACTCGATACTACTATAGAGTCAGTAGTTACGACTATAGGGTCGGTAGATACGACTATAGAGTCGGTAGATACGACTGTAAAGTCGGGAGATACTACTGTAAAGTCGGGAGATACTACTGCAGTCGTTAGATGCTATTGTAGAGTCAGTAGATACTGCTACAGAGTCAGCAGATACTACTATATACTTAGTAGTCACTACTATAGTCAGTAAATACTACTATAGAGTAAATAGATACTACTATAGATTCAGTAGACACTACTGATAGAGTCAGTAGTTACTACTACAGTCGGTAGATACTACTATAGTCGGTATATACTACTACAGTCAGTAGATACCACTATAGTCAGTATATACTGCTGCAGAGTCAGTAGATACGACTATAGAGTCGGTAGATACGACTGTAAAGTCGGGAGATACTACTGTAAAGTCGGGAGATACTACTGCAGAGTCGGTAGATGCTATTGTAGAGTCAGTAGAAACTGCTACAGAGTCAGCAGATACTACTATAGACTTAGTAGTCACTACTATGGTCAGTAAATAATACTATAGAGTAAATAGATACTACTATAGATTCAGTAGATACACGAGTCAATAGTTACTACTATAGTCGGTAGATACTACTATAGTCAGTAGATAATACTACAGTCAGTAGATGCCACTATAGCCAGTATATACTGCTTCAGAGTCGGTCGATATGACTATAGAGTCAGTAGTTACTACTAGTTAGTGGATACTACTATAGGGTCAACAGATACGACTATAGATTCAGTAGATACGATGGTCAGTAAATACTACTAAAGTCAGTGGATACTATTATAGTCAGTATATACTGCTGTAGAGTAGGTTAGATACGACTGTAGAGTCAGTAGAGGCTGCTATAGTCAGCATATACTGCTATAGAGTTAGCAGATACAGCTAAAGAGTTAGTAGTTACTACTATAGAGTCGGTAGATACTACTGTAGAGTCAGTAGATACTACTTTAAGATCAGTAGATACTACTACGATCAGTAGTTACTACTACTACAGTCAATAGTAACTAGTATACAATCAGTAGCTACGACTGTGCTCAGTAGATAACTACTGTACAGTCAGTAAATACAACTACAGAGTCAGCAGATACTACTAAAGAGTCAATATATACTACTGTAGAGTCAGTAGATACTACTGTAGAGTCATACTACTATAGAGTCACTAGATACTACTATAGAGTCACTAGATACTACTCACTCAATTGTATGTAGGGTGTGTAGGTATATATGTCTACAGGGGGGGATAAGTATATTTTGAGGGGGGGAGGTCGACAATTTTCAGAAACCTTTTAGATTAACGATTTACCCGCCACTTTCTATTACTTTTTGATTCAGGACTTCTGCAAGCCTCTTATAATTTTGTTGATGGACAAATGGACAAACGGAATGCCGGGCTTTCACAATAGCTTCGTATTAAGAGAAGTTTTTGAATATATTTGTCCCCCGGGTAACGCCAGGTACTTCCCACTAGTTAACTATAAATGCCAAAAAATGAAAAAATATTTCTGAAAAATACACACAGCGTAAAATATAGTAGCGCTACTGCTGGTGTTTGTTACTGAACACCACCAGGCTTTTTTGCTGACATTTGCATGAAAGCAAGACGCATGATAACTTAAGTGTAAGTATTGTACCTTTAAATCTTTTTATTAATACTGTCACCGTGAGACTGTCTTCCTCTAAAGCCAATACACAGTGCAACTGAAATTATATAAATATATAGTTATTACCTACATATTGAATACGGGTTAAAAACATCCGCAGCTATTTCAGTAAAAGTGAGTCGGAAGAGGGGGGGGGGGGAGGGGCACAGTTGTATCTTACATACCCCCGTTAAAATAGGCAGTTGTGCCAATGTAGACAGCCGATATACAAACATTACTGAAAAAATATTAACCATATGAAGGAACATACATAAAAGGACAACCGAAGAGTTGATGCAATTGAAAGAAGGCACACAGATGGAAATCAAAAATTCAATATTTTTTTAAATAGGGCAATTATTGAAGGTGGACCAGAAGAAAAATGATAATATAGAGAGGTGAGCGATAGCAGGTTGGTGTGCTTATCGAAATTGAATTAGAGAATGAAAATCAGCCGGCCAGTGTGCCTAAAGAGTAAAGTTTTCAATGTGTATTACATGCTATGATATATGGATTGGAAACATAGGCACTCACAAAGAAAATGGAACAAAAGCTCAAAAGCAAACAACGTGTGGAGATGTAGGTGCTGGAAATTACATTGAAATAAAAAAAAGATCAACACATGGATCATAATAATACCATGAGCTTGAGCAGGACACATAGCCATATTAAATGGTGATTGAGGCACAAGACTGGTGATGAGATGACAGTCAAAAGAGGGATCACATCTGAGAGGATGACCACCACCAAATATCGAGACGTGAGATGCTGTTGCTGCCACCAATAATGTTTACAAGTGACAAGATCACTCTTTGACGCGACGCATGCTGCCAGATTTGATCCTATTACTCGTGTACATGACATAAATCTGACTTGCCCTCATTTGGTTCTTCTCTTCCTTTCTCTTGATCCATTTGAGCGCCTGCTGCTGGGGATCGATACAGAGCGGCGTGCGGTGGGCCTGCACCGTCAGGATCCCATTCTGCACGGACATCTCATCTGATGGGAGGCCCTCTGAGCGCCATCTGGGGACAAAAGTGTTTGTTGCATTTGCACGCTCATGTCTCTAGTGTGGTGGGGTAATAAACTCCATCTAAAGTTTTGCAGTTTCAGAGGACACGTGTAAGTAGATTAATACTGTCATTAGAATTCAATAGAAATATAAACTATTCAGAGACTGCAACAATGTATGACACATTGTTGCATGTTTGACGAAGCCACTGCCATCACAATTTTATTTAGCTAGGAAAGCCACGCCAAGTGCTGAAATACTTTTTCAGGGAGGTTCACAGCTAGGAATATTTATCCAATTCCTTTTAAAACATTGTACGTAGAGGAGTTAAGTGGAGTGCTCATAATGGGGCCACAAGTTTCAGTGAAGCATATTAAAACTCCACACAATCGTTGTACTGTCTTCTACACGATTACTTTCGATTTTTTATAACATATTCATGTACAATTTCACATTCGTTTCCGGTGTTGTTGTTATTGAGATGTGTTACTGATGCTTTATTTCACCTGGATGAATTTGAAATCAAACTTGTGATTTAAGCGAGGAGACCATTGCGAATAAAACCACATCTAAAGTTGTCTCAACAGATTGTTTTTACTTGTCTCACAATTGTGTGCAATTACTTACATTCAACTGCTACTAACTTGGTTAAAAGTGTACTATGGTGCCGTGGTGATGCCGGACGCAAACCACTCCTGCGATACTGAAATCGGCTTTCCCTTGCCTGCTTATCTCCACGTCGTCAGAGAGCAGAGCCTCGAGGTGGAATGGCTGGCTCAGAGGGATGTTTCGCAACAGAATGTCGCTCTGCCACTCCTCGTACAGCATGGCGTTGCGAAAGTTCAAGCTGAAGGTGGCTTCGTAGCTGAGGAAGGCCGAGCAGATGAGACAGTCTCCCAGGAGCCTCAGCCGACGCGTCTGGAGCTCGTCCAGTTCCGCAGCCCACCTGTTCGCCAGCATCAGTCATTCATCTCTTCATTTCTTATTCACAATTTTATTACAATTGTGCTATCGACATTGTCATTAGATGAAAAAAATTACATTCACAATATTGAAACTAGCAATGACCTTGTCTAAAGAGAATGGTACTGCAAAATGTCACAGAACTACTTAAGTGACTTAAATATATCTTTATCCATATGAGCACACATGGAATGTTCTACACAGATTATTCATTCCATTTCAATCAGACAATTTTCAAGTCTCAGATCTGAAGGAATCTAAATAAAATAACCATTAATAAACGTGATTTTTTTGTGCTGAACCCAGATTCAAACCCAGAGCTTTAGCAATGACTGCTGAGCCACATGGCCACCTCAAAATATCTACTTTCACTTAACAAATGTTGAAATTTTGTTTTATTCTTGTAACATCCGATTTTGGAGCTGGGAAACTCCAAGATTGACCATGAGGGTCACAGTCACAGGGGTCAAATCAAAGGGAAATTTACTTGAAAAACGTAACTACTGTACCTCTTTCCTCCATATGAACTCTGCAATTGGAGTGGGAATAATATTTTTATTTTCTATTTTTCGTTTAAATTATATTTTATTCACGTAAACAGTTCTATCACCACACCTGATATTCTCTGAACCAAAGCCAGCAAAAAGTTTGTCCACTGCAATGAGCTGGCGCTCCATGATCTCAGTCTCGGACTGAAGCTGCTGTTTTTCGATCATCGCCTCCTCGTACTTTTTCATCAGTGTCGCCTCCAAGGCCTGCAGTGATGCAAACTCTTGCTGGATTTTGCCCAGTTCCCGTTTACTCTGGTGGTAATTCCGCTCCAGCTTGGCTACCTGCGTCAACAAACGGTGCAAGGCTACATGTTAGTGGGCACGTACAGTGAGGGAAAAAAGTATTTGATCCCCTGCTGATTTTGTACGTTTGCCCACTGACAAAGAAATGATCAGTCTATAATTTTAATGGTAGGTTTATTTGAACAGTGAGAGACAGAATAACAACAACAAAATCCAGAAAAACGCATGTCAAAAATGTTATAAATTGATTTGCATTTTAATGAGGGAAATAAGTATTTTACCCCTCTGCAAAACATGACTTAGTACTTGGTGGCAAAACCCTTGTTGGCAATCACAGAGGTCAGACGTTTCTTGTAGTTGGCCGCCAGGTTTGCACACATCTCAGGAGGGATTTTGTCCCACTCCTCTTTGCAGATCTTCTCCAAGTCATTAAGGTTTGAGGCTGACGTTTGGCAACTCGAACCTTGCGCTCCCTCCACAGATTTTCTATGGGATTAAGGTCTGGAGACTGGCTAGGCCACTCCAGGACCTTAATGTGCTTCTTCTTGAGCCACTCCTTTGTTGCCTTGGCTGTGTGTTTTGGGTCATTGTCATGCTGGAATACCCATCCATGACCCATTTTCAATGCCCTGGCTGAGGCAAGGAGGTTCTCACCCAAGATTTGACGGTACATGGCCCCGTCCATCGTCCCTTTGATGCGGTGAAGTTGTCCTGTCCCCTTAGCAGAAAAACACCCCCAAAGCATGTTTCCACCTCCATGTTTGACGGTGGGGATGGTGTTCTTGGGGTCATAGGCAGCATTCCTCCTCCTTCAAATACGGCGAGTTGAGTTGATGCCAAAGAGCTCCATTTTGGTCTCATCTGACAACACTTTCACCCAGTTGTCCTCTGAAACATTCAGATGTTCATTGGCAAACTTCAGACGGGCATGTATATGTGCTTTCTTGAGCAGGGGGACCTTGCGGGCACAGCAGGATTTCAGTCCTTCACAGCGTAGTGTGTTACCCAATTGTTTTCTTAGTGACTGGTCCCAGCTGCCTTGAGATCAATGACAAGATCCTCCCGTGTAGTTCTGGGTGGATTCCTCACCATTATCATGATCATTGCAACTCCACGAGGTGAGATCTTGCATGGAGCCCCAGGCTGAGGGAGATTGACAGTTCTTTTGTGTTTCTTCCATTTGCGAATAATCGCACCAACTGTTGTCACCTTCTCACAAAGCTGCTTGGCAATGGTCTTGTAGCCCATTCCAGCCTTGTGTAGGTCTACAATCTTGTCCCTGACATCCTTGGAGAGCTTTTTGGTCTTGGCGATGGTGGGGAGTGTGGAATCTGATTGATTGATTGCTTCTGTGGACAGGTGCCTTTAATACAGGTAACAAGCTGAGATTAGGAGCACTCCCTTTAAGAGTGTGCTCCTAATCTCAGCTCGTTACCTGTATAAAAGACACCTAGGAGCGAGAAATCTTTCTGATTGAGAGGGGGTCAAATACTTATTTCCCTCATTAAAATGCAAATACATTTATAACATTTTTGACATGCGTTTTTCTGGATTTTGTTGTTGTTGTTGTTATACTGTCTCACTGTTCAAATAAACCTACCATTAAAATTATAGACTGATCATTTCTTTGTCAGTGGGCAAACGTACAAAATCAGCAGGGGATCAAATACTTTTTTCCCTCACTGTATATTTTCAAGTGATTCCTTGTGTTTTAATTGGTATACAATGCAACACGAGGTGGTGCAGTTAGGATTTGCATAGTTAAAAAATGTAATTATTTTAAATCACAGTTGCTACAGGCGCACATGTCTAAAATGGCACGCGACCAGCAACACACAGTACTATTGAGCATATAAAAAGATATAAAACATGAGGGTAACTCCAGGTGCAAGTGTCACAGTGACAATATCAACACTTAAGGGAGTATGCATGGTTGGCTACGTACGGTGCAAAATAAGTTTAACATACATGACCTCTCACCATGAAGTAGTCTCTAACTATATTATGTCAAACACAAATACATGTGAATATATGAATTCTCCAAAAAAGCTACAAACGAATTTTGTTTTATGTTACCTTCTCCCGTTTGGGCTTAATGTCACGTGCGACATCGCAGTAGCCCATAACAGCCTCTACAAACTTCAGCATGCCAGCGCCCGCCCTGCTGATGGCCACCATTTCCTCATAGGCTGTCAATTTCATCAAAGCTGCAGCAGAATTTACAGAATCATGATTAAGAATTGGTGTTTTTGGTAGACTATGCAAGTATGAAGCTAAAATGGTGGCGTACTTATATTTATGAAATATAACCTAAAAAACAATTATTAATCATTTTAGTCGCAAAACCTACATGTTAAAGAATCATTATGAATGACTTTTTTCAGTGGCTACATATATATGCAACAGCAGAGGGAAATTGGTAAGGAACCCCTGCTCACCCTAGCCCAGTCTTACTCCTCAGTGTGGTCCTGCAACTGTAGGTTACAGCATTTTTTTATCATTATTCGGAGCAATGTTACCCATCCTGTGGTACATGTATCTGGGAGTACACGTGTGAGATCTCTCAGGGGTACTTGAGATAATTTACTTCACGGCGGTAGTCATGTGGGGTATGGTCATGGGGGCTTACGCAGTGCTGATTTGGGTGTAAAGGGATTCAGCTCAAGCGGTGTTCAGCAAAGGTTTCCTTCCTTGTTGATGGCCCACAAGTAACGCAGCCAATCGTACAGCAGGTAACACACGCTTCCGCAACTCCACATTCAGAATTCCCCTCCTACTCCCTCCCCTTTTATCCCCCGGTCTCCCCTCCTTGCCTGGCAATCATTTCCCAGGGCTTCTGCCGCAGATGATGACGAACAGGCAAGGTGCCTCCATGTTTCCTACATGTACATGCACTTGACATTCTAAACTATATACAGTAAAACCTTGAATTGTGAGTAACTTGGTCTGCGAGTGTTTTTCAAGACGAGCAAATTTTTAAAATAAATATGAATTTGATAAACGAGCGAGGTCTTGCAATACGAGTAGTACGTATACGCTTTGTCTGCCGAGTGTCACGTGATCACAACTGATATACAAGTACTTTGGATTACAAACACGTATCCGGAACGAATTATGCTCGCAATCCAAGGTTTAACTGTACTTATCTCTTGTATGAAATTTGGGGAACCCCTGAGCATGGACGCCTTGGCCATCCGTGTATGCTCTTAGGGCTCTCTCTCTCTTATTTAACGTAATTATTTTAAGAAAAACATTCAGAACCAATGTAATAGAGGTTAATTCAGACGTGATGCTAATGCATGGATTACATCCATATACTGTGCGGTAGGGTTGTCACATCATGCAGGGAACCATCATTCCTAGCAAGAGCTGTGATGATGATGTGCATGAGATAACCACCTACAGGATGAGGTGTTGTCTGCAGGGGGCATGGAGAGGACAAGTTCAAACCTATAGTCGTACCATTTACAGTTGTTTTTTACACTCTTTTATTGAACTCGCCTTGTTGTCTGCTTATATTCTTTGGAATCGTTGACACTTAATATCTTCAGATCTAGGAAGCCTAACGAGCTGAAATTTTTCTACACAGACTCGTCTCGCGTGACAATTTAAGATTTCATGAAAAAAACCGGTCCAGGTCCTGCCGATCATGGGCCTATTCGTGTTTTTGGCTTCATTTTAATGAGTACATTTTACCCCCCTTCTGTCACCGAGTTTCTATGGTGCAACCAGGTCCCCATTGAACATTGGCATGTTTTACCTGTATCAGAAAAAAAACATTTTACCTATCTGTGTGAAACGTGGTGTTCTCCTTTCAGACTGTATGTATGGATATTCTCTTGGTCCTCCCACATAAATAATCTGCCAAATGATGTCAAGTATGACTCTATTGAAAATGAGCCTTGAAGACTCAAGAGTCTTTATCAGGTAAACATTTCAAATTATAACAACGTAAGGCCTATTACCATGGCTGCATCCACGAAACATAATTTTTTCATAATTTTGTTGGCTGCACTTTGTCAATTTAATATTTTTTTTCTTAAATATTTAACTTGTTTAACGTGTCAATGGGACGGTACCTCGGATAGTTTTGACCTGGCTGGGTGTGATAGCGTCACAGTCCATCTCCATGAGTGTGCGCAGGAAACTTGTATCAGACATCATGGACCTGGCAGACTTCCAACTGATATCCCTATAAGCCTGCATCACCAGAATGCACTCGCACACTGTCTGCACCTGCTTGGGCGGTTTCACAAAAGACCTGTACCACCGACACGCGAGAGGATATTCGGCGATGATCTAGACAAAGATTCCAGTCTCCAGCTAGGTATTGTCTGTGAGTATTTTTTTCTGCCAACTGAGCATTTTAAGTAAACGAATGGTTTACAGTAAATTATATTTCTGAACAATAATTTACTCCATAATAGCCCTTAAGATGACCAAGTCATCCAAAATATGAAGCTCGTCCTTTATTGCAGGTCACAGAAAAATCTAAGACTCTGCTGTGTGCGACGGTGGCTACGAACTCCAAGCTATGGTCCACGTAACTTATGCATTGCCCAAAATAGAATTTTAAAAGCGGCATATTTGAAATTTACCAACTCTCAGACAAAGCAATTGATTGGTTAAATCACTTACACATTAATCTATAATAGTTTCTCGTCGTAGTCCAGATGAAGGCAAAAAAAAGCACCAAAAATATTACGTGAAGAAACTCATGGGTATGTGTGCTGTATAAATTGAAAAAAGCCTACATGAAATGTGAAAAAAATAACATACTCTCAGTGAGTGTCAGTCAGTTCCATGACTTGTGGTCATTGAGACATCACTGCTGTTACTGCCTCTTTACATCAGTTATCCCTTTCAGAAGAAGAGTACAAGGCCAACGTAAAGACAACAAATAAAATTAGTATGAGGTTTTGGGCACCAATGTGAGGCATGCCTTATCTCAGTGACGTCTGACTTGTCGAGTTCCTGCAGGGCTTTCCGAGCAGCATCCAATGCAGGCAGAGCTGCTGTCAGGGCTTCCTCTGCCTCCTTCTTTTCATTGGAAATCATCAAGTTCTGATCCTCAATCTCCTGCACCTTCGCCTCTACTAACAGTCTCTTCTCATTCACTGTTGTGATCCACAAACATACAAATTGATCCACAATTTGTCTACCGCACTGCTTCTTGCAGACATCGCCTTGTTGTTGTGTGCATTCATTGGTCATTCAAAGCTACCAGAAGTCACTATAGCTGATGACCATTTCAACCCGATGAAGAAATTCCAATTCACATTCTTCCGAAGTGATATTTCGGCAAAAACACATTTGAGATATAAGCTTTGCGCCTCAATACACACCCGCGCTTCTGCGGTCGTCTGGCATGCTCTTCCTTCCGATATTAGGAAACTGGAGCTATGCACTTTTAAATCCAGATTGAAAACTCATTTCCTTAGAACAGCTTTTTTTGTTTTAGCTTTCTGTCCTTCTCCACCTCAGATTAGCACGTTTGGCTACGTACGGTCCGAAAGAAGCTAAAGATACGTACATACTTGAACTGAGCACTTACCGTCTACAGTACTGGCAACAATCTCCTCCAAGAGCAGCTTACACGCTGTGGACTTTTCGGCTACAATCACCCTCTGGAAGGCCAGTCTCTCGTTCAGCTCCACCAGCTGCACACTGGCCTCCTGCAGCTTTTCTAGCCCAACTTCCAGGCGTCTGGATTGGGCTGCAGTGGGCAATTACACAACACTCTTACAAAACGGCAGCTTTCAGTTATAAAGAGGCCCTAGCATTTAATCAGCACATTTATTTGAGCAAAGCTCTAAGCTGACGTGCATAAAAAAAGTTTTCAATATCGTTTTTGGTTTTCAAAGTTCATTATTAAAATACATATATTTGAATACATCTACAATATTTCAATGTGTGGCTCTTTCACAGGGAGCTTGTGAAGATAACTATTTTAGTCACATCTTTAGCACACAAATGTGAGCATTTTCATTGAGCGCTATGGGATCCTTTAATATAAATTGGTGAATTAACTAGGCCTCCAGGCTTTCATACTGTATTAGATAAAAGTTTTACTGGCTGGCTTTCAGCCTGAATTCCTGTCTGCCTGGCTGGCTGGTGAGCAGGTGTGTGATGGTGACATCACCGCGCACATCTGTGTGAAGACGTCACCCGCATCCCACAGCATTGAGCCAGATCCGTGTGTTGCACTGACGTTATGCCTTCCCAACCCACCCACCCTTTATCCCGCCCGTGGATACCGCACAAATGCGTGGGATATGCTATCATACTTTCATCATACTATCATGCTATATTACACAAAAGTTTGGATGTCTGGCGGCCGGGAAAGATTATAGTAGTTTAGTTTTTTGTACAGCAATGTGCAGCTCACTCTTTATGGAGATGTCCTTTTCCTGAAGCAGTCTTATATAGTTATGGATGAAATCCAGAAAATTCTTGGGTGTTACATAATTCTCGCGTCTGAGTTCTTGTTTAAACTTCTCAGTGTAGGATTTCACAGATTTGTGGACCACAACTATGTGGTTGATGAGAGCCTCTGTGTAGTTGCTGGGAATCATGGGGTTCTTTCCTAATGGAATAAAAACTAATCTTTACATATGTATAATTCTGCTATAAACAATTTTTTCAGAATGAGAAAAATGTATTGCGTTAATTCAGATGCAACATGAGGTTAGATTCGTTCAGAGGAGAAAGTTGAAACTATCAAATGTAAACAAGTACAGAATGGGCATTCAGAAACAGTAGAATAAAGGACAAATCAAATATAAACATGTACTGCATATAGCCATGTGCAAGACAAAAATCTCTATATAATATAAACATGTGATCATTTACCTAATACATGACAAAAATGTACATGCAATAGTACTTTGACCATTTAATACTATGCATCTGGGGCTATTTACTCAGGAAAGCATCACTGTATCCTTAAGATGATTTTCAAAGGATCACCTTGAGATATTTGACCAGTCGCTAAGTATTGACATAAATGAAATACCCATAGAAAATTTACATAAAATAAAAACTTGCCAAAAAAAATATTTTTGGTTTTCATAACTTTAGTTTTTAAGCAGTTACTTCATATCATAGAAATTCTTAATGCTTATTTGTAAATAATCTTACCTAAAAATGTCTCTGCAACTTCATTTAGTGCATCAATTGGCCATCGAAATAGCCAATTTATACCTGTGTTGTTTACGATACCTGCAAAGTAAAAAGCGTAAACTTTAAATCCTGCTGCAGAAGGGTGAAAATAAACTTAAACACAGGAACCATAAGCATATTATTCCGCAAGTTGCAGCTCAGCAGGAAAAGATTGAGAGAATTCACTTGCCAGGGAAGTTTCTACATCTTGTCCTGAGAGTATCTCCCACGGGAGACATGCTCAACACAATGTGCAGATTGCTGGAACTCTTTTCGTTGAAGTACTGCCAGATGCTTGCCTTGGACAGCCCAAAGCCCACGCTCGTTGCCTCGTCCCGAATCTGGTTCACAATATTCTCTCTCTCATCGTCCAAAAATAGTGCTGGCACCACACCTTAAAGGAGGAATCACAAGCATTGTCTTTCGCAATGGACACACTTAACTCGTAGCAATGAACAATAGACTTGAGTCAATGTTTTATTCAACAAACCAAGCAGTAATGTGTCGGTAATGAGCACTGACCACATGTCAGCATGTTGTTGACGGTCTCCAAAAAGCTCTCTTTGGCTACATGTGCATCAGTGAACAGGAAGACAATCTTCTTGTTGTCGATGCCTAGTTTTGTGTACAGCATCTTCAGGTCTTCCCGAAAATGCTTTTCTTCATATCCCCGTGTTAGCTTGATCTCAAACATCTGATAAGTACCGTAAGTTTACAAAAGAAAATTTAACACAGGCAGAGTGGAAAGAAATATGAATATTCATGACAACAAGTTGGGACAAACTACCCTATCTCCACAACAAAAAACTATGATAAATTAGTCTATTGGGCTCTTGGCCAAACTGGACTCATGTTGATCAGCAGTTTTATTTATTTATTTAGGCGAATGAAATCTATTCGCATGAACAAAATGTATTTAGTGATATGTTTTGATTATAGCAAGGATAAATTTTGACTTTAAACTTTCGTGACTGCAGGAATTCATATTCTACGGCTCTTTCGGTAGTCATGTAGATAGAAAATTTAATAAAAATCTCTCCCCCCCCCCTCTCCCCCCCTCTCCCCCCCTCTCCCCCCCTCTCCCCCCCTCTCCCCCCCCTCTCCCCCCCTCTCCCCCCCCTCTCCCCCCCCTCTCCCCCGCCACCTCTCTCTCCCCTGTCTCTACCACCCTTCACTATCCCCCTATCTCTACCCCCCTCTCTCTCGTCCCTATCTCTACCCCTCTCTCTCCTCCTCTCTCTACCCCCTCTCTCTCCCTTCTCTCTCTCCCTTTGTCTTCTCCTACATTAGCATTAGCTGCCCCGCCCATGCTGCTGACACAATTGGACTATGCCGAACGAGCTCGGCACCACGACTCTTGTGTCTCGCCCACTCACAGCTTTAGCTCGTCCATTCATGCTGTTCCACTGCTCTTGCACCCATTTTAGACCTTATAAGCAATTGCAGTTAGAGGCTTGCCCCCCTTTTTTCTATCCGCCTGATAACCGCATGTGTTGCGATCGAAACGTCGTGAGTTTTTTATATTTTTATTATTTTTATTTTCTATCTACATGACTTTACCGAAAGAACCACAGAATATAGCAAGGATATTGCAGTGATCATTCGACTGAAATTCCCCAATATCATGATTGTCTTATAAAGATCCAGAACTCAGTGGGGATGGGGATGTAAAATGAACCCCTTTCCAAATTTCATGTTGCAGATTGACCTGTGAATTTGCAAAGGTAAGCTTGAGTGCGAGTAGAGGGTGAGGCATGAATGTGTATTGAGAGTCAAAGTTGTATTTGCAAGCACAAGGTGCGTGTGCATCTTTCTATGTGCATGTCTGTGCATGTCTGTGCAAGTGTGAATGTGACATTATTGTGGTGGTGGCCACTGCTCATTGACCTAGAAAATATTTTGCACTTAGTGCACCACGTCCGGTATACATCTCGTCATGGCTGTGACTAACTAGTCACGGAGCTGACCTCGTTTTCAGTGACACGGAAAATATTCAGCGAGAAATGAAGCCTTGTGTAAACATAACCGTTCACCCTGTCCCCCTCCCACACTCCCAATGGATTTAGAAATTATAAACATGTTTTTAATTTGCCAGGTAAGACCCACTGAGCTATTAGCTTCTTTTTCAGAAGCGACCTGGCCACAAATGATAACCCAACGAAGTGGCTCATCATGTGGAAATGTATAGCAGCTTAATACCTGATATAACCTTATCATGATGGTAGAAATTTGAAATTATAATTTCTTTGGTATAGTTGAAACGTCTCACCTGTTAAATAAATGTTTGTGTGCCCCAGTGGTTGTCATGAATGAGTGACGATTTGCAAAGCCTCAACATTATATTAATGAGGTCTTTATACCATTGCGAGCATGTGCAGGCAGCACTGTGTACCTCATAGCCGGCGGTGTAGGCGGCGAGGCGAGTGAGCGAGTGCTTCCCCGAGCCCCCAACCCCGACCAGCAGGCCGTGACCACCGTCAATTCGCAAGATGCGGTGGATGCGTGTCGTGTGCTCCACGGCATAGTCAAACAGGACGAGGTTCATCGCCGTCATATTCTTCTCGTTGTAGTCCTCCAGTACCTCCTTTCAAGGGAATGGCACGTACGTAATGTGGGGTCACAAAAGTTCCTATCCTTCAAAGGAAACTTGTCAAAGCATTTGGTGGTGCTCTTAGTTTTAACACTCTTTAACAATGCAGACTTAACGTGCATACCTACATTGATGCACTGCTCTCACAAGTATCAGATCTATGCCCCAGGAGTGATTGGCTGGCAGGTCTTTCATGAAGAGGGACAGGGTATTATAGCTGCTACATATTGTGGATCTGGTAGTCCACAGCTGCCAGGTGAGGTCCCCAGCTATAATTTGTATTTCTCATTATAAGGTGTCTCAGTAAATTAGTTTAGGAGACTTGAAATATAACTTACAGTTTCAGAGTGGTGAATACCCCAACATGTTTTTAAAAATATTCAACGGTGCTACCTATTTCCTAAACTTAAGTAGGTGGTTTATTAAAAAGGCATACATTATAAATTTGAATGCATAAGGAAATAAACCATTACATTGCTGGAGTTTTGACAAAACCATCAGAAGATGGTAAAGTTGTACGATGTTTGTGCGACGTTGAATGGGAGAAAATCAGTTGGACAGAGAGAAAGAGTTACAAGGAAGTGCTGGAGGGTTCAGGACACACCTAATTCGAACAAGTCAAGAGGGGGAAAACGATATGGATTTGGAATGCTGTCAGAGCCGAAGGCTTGCCAAAGGAAGCTCTAGGATCTTAGAAAAAGTCCAATATGTAGAAAAGCAAAGTGTTGCTCGACAACAGGAAGAAATGGGGGCCGTATAAGGAAATTAATAGAGCAAGATCAGATAGTGTGAAGCTGCCAAAGAGAGCAGTAATTTTCACCTGGAGTAGTACCCTTGCTGTATTGTAATCTTTGACGTCCTCGTACACACGGCTCTCAGCCCCTCCCGGTGCTGTATTGTAATCACCAAACAAAATGGGGTCACGTGTTGCGTAGTCCAACTCAGCAGGTGAGTGTTCTGTGATCAGTTCCTGTATACTGCGCTGAACCTGAAAAATGGTGAGGCACGGTGAAATAACCTCCATCATAACTTAGTGAATTGGAAAACGACTGTAAACGTGCTAGTAATAAACAATGACTAGCAAAATATGATTGTTTATAAATACGGTTTAGTGTTAAAAAGTATACATGACTTACAAGTGCTTGGTCAGTTTTGTTTATAAGCCGGTCATGGAAAACACGAAGGCACTCGTTTCTCCAGACTCTTACAAACTGCGCTTTCATGGTGAATCTGAAACAATAGAAATGTTCAGCACAATTCAACACACCCAAACATGGTTTGGAGTTTAACATATACTCATATAGAGTAATATTTCTCTTGTATGACAAATGCGAAGGACACTTACTTATGAATAAATTTTGAAATCAGAGAAGTTTTATTTAATTTACGCGTAAGAAATCTCATCTGCTAATATAGTTAGCCACCAACACTGTGGGATCCATTCAGAGTAAAACAGCTAAATTGTACCAAACTCGTTATGCATGGCCATGAAGGATTGTAGAAAATGCAATAATAAAAGAACAGATAATGATGCATCTTCTTTGGTTCTTTCGGTAAAGTCACGTAGAATGAGAATAAAATAATAAATTAATTAAATAACACAATAAAATTCTCACGACGTTTCGGCCACAACACAAGTGGCCTTCTTCAGGTGAAAGGAACAGACCTGTCGTGAGAATTTTATTGTGTTATTTTATTTTATTAATTTATTATTTTATTCTCATTCTACGTGACTTTACCGAAAGAACCAAAGAAGATGAATCCTTGCAGTCACGAAAGCTTTAAATCGAAAGATAATGCCTTTCCACATAAAATATATGCATACATTTTTGTCAGTCTTTTAACCTATATAGCCTCTGGCAGCACAGAATCACTTAACAGGGTTGATTGCTGATGAGTCAGATAGTCAAAACCGACAAAGAATTTAGCTGCTGAATAAATGCTGCTGAAAAAAAAATATTCAGAAGGTCCATATGTTGATAGAACAAAAACATGTTTTGAATGTGGAGAGACATACTTTTTAACATTTAATTTTAGTGCATGACAAAGTTGTATAATTTTATGCAAAATGGAATGGAACTTTCATTTTTTTTATAAAGTGATCTAACAGCACTGAGAGCATACATGAGCAAAATATATATGGCCACCTTTCAGGTGTGGTGAGACACAAGCCACTGTAGACTCTGGAGAGGTCTCGCAGATTGAAAATATAATGGAACTTCGAGGGGGTTGGTGGGAGGTTGTGAATGACGTTGTTATACAGCTTGAGCGTGCAAGCAGTAATCTTCTCACACATTGACTGCACCTCGTCTGAAAATGTCTTGGGGTAAAATGGTACGACAGGACACAAAAAAGGTTTATCAACCAGTTCAACATTGTCAAATTGAAATGTTAAAAATCTCAATGATAGTTCACTAACCATAAAAACTCTATCTAGCACCAAAACCCTTCCTAGCAGGGCCCGGTCAAGGATGTTTAACCATTTCCTTACTGAGTGTTTTCATAAGTGATAAAAAAAACATTCAAAGTGAAAATCCAGACATATGAAAGGAGATTGCTCAAAAATCTACCCAGGTTGTAAAACAACCCACTTGCTCTACTGTATTGTGCAGTTTACCCCACTGCCCTGCATCAACACCCCACCCCTCCCATTACAAAGCATTGGGTTACAGGTGCGCAAAACCACCACACCACCGAAACATTTGGGATTCATAGTTAGCTTCATTCGAAGTCCGCTCTGGCTTACCGTTGTGTGGCATTTTAAGATAGAAGTGTATATATGGTGCAGCGACTCCTCTTTTGGGAAAGTGACAATGAAGGTGGAGACGAGGGACATAAAGCGCGGGTCCACTTGATTGCGGCCTCCTCCAGCCTTGCCCATCGCAGCCAGGAAGTCCAGGTTTTTCACGTTCTTGTAGTTTACCCCCTGCCCACGGTTGTACATTCCGCCTTTCTCCAACAACAACTTTAGCAATGCGATTGGCTGCTGTGTTCCGTACTCATCCACCTGGCATGTAAAATATCATATTTCAATTAGCAGGGGCTTCTGGAAATGCTGGCACTCACTTCGATGGTATGAAACTTTGCAAGCGGTGGAGTACAAACAGCATGACTTCAAGCCATGGAATTAAAAGTGCTGTGACAATTCTCACCCGAGGCATGTTCATATCATCTATGAACATGAGCAGTCTCTTGCCCAAAGGTGGGCTGAACGTGTCCCTTGTTATTTTTTCGATATTGGCTTCCAAGTTTCGTTGAACATCCATTGATGTGGTGCAAGATGAGAAGGTCATTTTAAGCACAATCTGAAAATAGTAACAAAAAAATGTTAGTTCTGCTTACAGATGACATAAAAATAGTGTTTTATTACTATTGTGTTAGAAACGGACCCTTACAGTGGTTTCTTTATTGAGATCCTTGAGAAAGTTGCGTGTGATGACTGTTTTGGAGGTGCCAGATTCCCCGACCAGTAGTGCAGGGCGTTTAATCTTGACCATCTGCTCGAGAAGCCACGTGATCCGCAAAGTATCCACTGTGGGAACTATTTGAGCAGATGACAGAAACATAAAAAAACTGTAATAACCATCTACAAAATGTATCACCAGCTAATTTTGCAAACATAGAGCAGCACGTGGGTCACAGCACTTACCAAGAATGTCGCCGAATCTGACCTCGGGCCTGGGCATGTACTGGGGCACTCGATTGGCCCAGCTCACCCAATGTTTGCTTTGTTCATCAAAATGGAAATCATAGAGCGTAGGGCACTGACCTAACAGAGCATCAGCAAAATTAATATGGATTCTGAAGCATCACAAACACGTGACTACAATCGAAGTGGTTTCATTACTATCAACAGAATAATACAATTTAACTTTTCAAGACATATCACCAAGTAACATAAAATGGCATTTGTAAACATATTTTGCTAAATTCATTAAGAAATATCTTTAATTATGTAACGTAAAATAAAGGTCATCAGGATGAACATGAGTGATGAGGCATTGTATTACCGGGAAGTTCATCAGGTCCTACCACTCTGCCTTGCTCAGACACGAGGCGCATGCCTGAGATTTTTTTCACTAATTTGTCAAATCTGATTCTGTCTTCCTCTAGAAGAGTTGCTCCCAGAGAGCAAAAGAGAGCTTCTAGAAAAGAACACTCGAGCATTGAGCTGTCTTCTCCAGCCAACTCCACCAGTGCATCCAGCATCATGCACAGTTGCACAACCTGGGTACAGATTTATAGTGCAGTGTGGCACATCACCATATTCCAATGCTTTGACATTTTACACCCGATATTCCTAGCCTGTGACCTCCAGAGATGCAGGTATTGGGAAATGTTAAGTTGTTTTTGAGTTTGGAACAATAGTTAAATTTTTAATAGTCTATCATTCGAAGTGAACCAATATTTTTTAACACACCACATCTGGTGACACAGTTAAACTAATTAAATATTGCAATGATTAGTTGATAAATTAACAATTTAAAAAATACTCGGTCTTTCTTAGAATATTGTTGCTCTCTGTCAGGTGGCCCACCTACCATGTTCAGGTCCGTCTGGGGCACCATGGTTTTGGGCTTGACTTCCTGGGTCCCGTTCACAATTCCGTCCACAATCATTTGCATACACAGTGGGACGTACTTGAGATATAACACCTCCAGGCTCTCTTGTGTTTTCTGCAGAAAAGCGAGTTCCATTTGTTATTTCGTCCATTGTCTTGGACAACCAAGAAAAAACTCACGTCACACCAAACACGTGTAATACATACACCCACCTGATGCCACTTCTTAAGCCACTTTTTCCAGTAGGGTAAATGCTGTAGGTTTTTGGGGTCAACGTACACCACTCCACAACGCGACACTGTAGAAGGTGACGAATAATCTAGATCCCCAACCTAAAGCAGGGCAACGCAGGGACACACAATATAAACACAGAACCTATTTTGTGAATGTATGGCAAAGTCATGTGTTTAAGAAATAAGATCAAATTCCCCTTGCAAGAGTGTGAATGGTAAAGTCACAGTGCAAAAGTATTAGGTGTGGAGTCATAACTTTTGAATTCCATCTCATCAGAAAATAAAGAATTTGCCCTGTTCCAGTCTTTAAGCTGCATTTAGAGACAGAAAAATTTAATTAGACATCCTTCAAATGCTCACGTGAACAGACCCATAACATTGGGTGTTTAAACTTTTGGGTAAACAAAAACATAATACCTTAAATTAGTTGGTATATTGTGTAGAGGTAGAACATACACGGGACATCCACATTCAGGGCAATGATTTGAAGCCTGGCAGTAGCAGTATAGTAAGTAGATTTGTGATCTGTGTGTAATTGGAGTGTTGTGCCTTAACATGTGGGTTTTATTTGGTAACTCTAGTTTTCTCCAAAACAAAAAACTCTTGAAACTCAATTAAACATATCGTCACCAAAAAAACTAATTGAATTACATTAAATGCATTTCTAGTGGGTGGATGTGCACGCATCATGAAACTAATTACAATAAACAAAATACAAAAACACTGACTTCCAGAAGCATGGCACAATACGGCTGAAGGTGAATGCGTTCCCCATCAGCAAGCGTTAGCAGCTTGTTGTCGTCCATCACAGAGTTCATGTTTTCCACCCATAGGGCATCCACGTCACCATCAAACAAAATGTACCTGCCACCAGGTTAAATAACATCAGCATGTTTTTACTGTCTCCAAAAATTAAGTGGCCACTGATATGCGGGATTTCTACAACTGACTCAAGGTTATTAACAGAGCTTTGCAACCACCACATTACTCTCTTGAGCGGAAAAGGTCCTTCATTGAAATAAATCGAAGATCTCGACACTTTGGCAATGGCCTTTTTGTCTCAAAAATTTATCGGTTGCAAAGATTTCACACAAACACAATTACAAATTTTGCAATGACAAGTTTCAAAAAGCCAAGAGCATCACGCTTCGATATTGAAATCTAAATCTTTACAAGATTAACTGCCCTGAAAACAGTACATCACAGGCTGAAGATTTCAAAAAACCCTTTTTTATCAGTTATATGCCAGTGTTATCAATGATGATAAACGTATATTTAAACTGTACATGTACACCCAATCTCAAAAGTCATCAACTTCCTTGTCATGCTCTCTTTTCAAGTGGAGACTTTGCGGGCATAGTGACCTGCGTTCCTGCCTGTCCGTAGGCTTGTTTATATTCCGGAAAATGCTCGAGAGGATACCATCGGTCCATTGCTGCGTGCCAGGATCCAGAACGCCATACAACTCGATCACGCTCATTGCCTTTGGGTTCAGTGTGTACAGCCTTGTGACCAGGCCAAGTCTGTACACATACGCAGGAGACAGCATGCCATTGAATCCAGAGAGAAATAGAGTAAAGAGTAGAGTTGTCATGAATAAATTAATCGACAATGATGCGTAAGGTCAAGATGCTTGCATAAAATGTTGTTTAAGAATTTATTTGTGTACTTTGTGTGAAATGATCACAATGTAAAATTTCCCTGCTACAAGTGTCTCATAATTTGTGAGTGTGGCACTTTTGAGACACAAATGCTGACCTGGTCTGTGCTTGGCACAGGGTGTTGATGACCACAGATTTCCCACCACCAGTAGGGCCTACCACGACAGAGGTGTGGCGAGTCATCATGGTTTCATACAACTGCACCACCTTGTCCACCTGCATGGCCGACAAACAAAACCTCTTTAAATATATTGTACACATGACTCCACAACTATGGGATGAAAAAATGCAAGTTATAAATATTTTTAAAGAAATAATACTGTACTGGAAAACAAATTCACGAGGCCCTTTTGCACCATGACACAAGTTCCCATTGCCACGTGCCTTCCCTTAATGTACAAATCATATCCACGCATCTGCAACTATTGATAGGGATTATGTATTACAATTGGGGAGAATATTAGGATGTCTCAATATTTTTTTATAAATAACATTCAATATGCAAATGCTTTAAATTTACAATAGAATGTTTATATTTTATAGGCACGTTGTAGAAACTGACATTGGCGGATAAAAAAAAGCTGAAATGTCATATTTTATAAGATAAATCTGCTATGTGTCAGTGTTGTGGCTCAAATATTGCCAAAATCAATGTACACGAGCAAAGGCTGGTCAGAAATAATTTTCTTGGTAAAGTCAGCCATGAGGTGGCTCATCATAAATTTTTTACTTCAAACATGTACAAAGAGGCCCCAATGAATCTTCAAAATACTTTTTCCAGGAGGGTGCTTGTTAAGGTCCACTTCATATAATATGCCACTAACCACGTAGGGAGAAACAACACAATCATCTACCATTTCGTCGTTTATGTCTCATGGTGATGTCATGCTAAGCCATTGGTGGGGGGGGGGGGTATTTGATCCAGAGTAGGTCGGACTACATTCTAGAACTTTCATTATTGGGTGGAATTTGTTTAAAATGTCCATTTCTACCTCCTGACTTCACTTGCACATAACTGGTATTTGCCCCATATGCCAGTGTCAACCCAGTGAGTTGCAAAACTTTTTTGAGGGGTCTTGAGCCCTGATTGTTGAGCACTACAACCATCAGAACCTGGGCAGGAAGAACCAAGTAGCCCTTTTCTTGCAGTGTCTCCTCCACGGCCTTGACAAAGCTAGGATACGACACGCGCTGGCAGTCGAGGCCTGGGAAGAGGTCGGAGATGAGGCCCAAGAAGAGAGGCACGTCCTCAAACACAAGCTTGGGCAGGTTCATGTCTCGTAGGGCCCGCATCAGCACCACGTCCTGGCTCACCAACATTCAGTCAAATTTACATGTGTGAGGGCTTTGTTTTGAAATAATCTGATAAATAATAGTTATGATTAACTTGTGAAAAGATGCATGTGGATTCATCAAAAGGTGTTGTCAACTGGACAACAAAGAAGTAGGCAGTTTATATTCCATCACACAGCCATTGACTAACGCAGTAAAACAGAGTTCACAAAACTAACACTAAAATCACTCTAGTCACCTCGCTGAGGTACGGTTCCTCTCGCTTAAGATCACCGGCCATGATCAAGACAGACTTGAGAGTTCGTAGCCCAAAGTCATAGTGACTCTGCTTCGAAAGCTGGTCCCGTGCCAGCTTGTAAAGCGTGGTCATCTTCTTGGAAAGAGTCTGGACAAGAACATTTTAAAATATTAATGCAAAAATGTAGGTATGTTTTTTATATCACATGCTGCTGCCATGTATGAAATTGTTCAGTTTAACACGTAGGCTTACTTACTTCTTATGGAGAGGGGATTTCTTTAAACAAAAGGAAGGAGCAGCAATGGGCTCTCCTTTATCCTCTGCTATAGCAAATTTGTACATGGAAAACTTTGAAATAAGAGCACTTGCCTCGAGCACATTAAAACCATCCTTTTGGTTTAGATATGTGGATGACACTTTGGTTGTCTGGCCACATGGTAAAGATACACCTAATGATTTTCTAAATCATCTCAATGCACAAGACCCGGCCATCCAGTTCACCATGGAAATGGAGGTGAATAACACACTCCCATTCCTAGATATTTTGCTTGGACATGGCCTAAACGGTAAAATAACACACAGCGTTTACAGAAAGCAAACGCACACTGATGCCTATCTGAATGCAGAATCACATCATCATCCAGCTCAGAAATCCTCTCTTATCAAGACGCTCATACATCGGGCTAAAACAGTGTCCGATGGTGAGTCTAGTGAGAGAGATTAAACACGTTAAAGACGCACTACGGCAGAATGGCAACAATAATGCTCAAATTAACAGAGCACTGAATGCCAAATCACGATCGCAAAGCAATACTGCTGAAAGCGATCAGATTGTTAAAACAATAAAAATTCCATATATCTCAGGAGTAACTGACAAATTAGCCCGTGTTTTGCAAAAGCAAAACATTACAGTAAGATTTGGTACAGTACACAAAATTCAAAAACTAGTATCTTGCACTAAAGACGCATTACCTAAATTATCAACAGAAGGTGTATATCGTATTGTTTATGTGGCAGATGCTATATTGGACAGACGGGACGTAACATCAGCGTAAGACTAAAAGAACATCAGAGAAATATTAAATTATCTCAAACACAACTGTCGGCAGTGGCAGAACATGCTTGTCAACAAGGACACTCAATTGATTTTGACAATGTTGCAGTGTTGTGTAAAACCAATTATTACTGGCAAAGACTAATTAGAGAATCCATTGAAATTGAGAGGAATAAGAATAACTTTAATCGCTCTGACAGCTACAGGCTTAGTGCGACCTGGAAGCGTATTATTAAATAATACACATTACATTTTGATTTAAAGCTTTCGTGACTGCAGTAATTCATGTTCTTGGCTCTTTCGGTGGAGTCGCGTTGGGGGGAAGCAATACAATAATAGAATATATATGTTTGTTGTTTTGTTGTTTCCCTTCGGCGTGGCTTTGCCGAGGGAGCTAAGAATATGAATGCACATTACAATTCCTTATAGGGGAAACACATACTAATTAATGGATTACTAACATAGCATATAATCACTAACACACAATACAACTAATTACTAATCTACAACTCATTACTAATCATAACCATTGACTGATTACTAATCGATTATATAATTACAATACCCCCCCTCCGCCTCTAATCACTGCACCTGATATGAGTTAAAATGATGACGTCACCCTGCTGCTCTATATAAAACCGGGAGCAAGCGAGGGCTTTATCATTCTGGCAAATTGCCCGATGATGCTGGATGTATTTACCAGCGAAACGTCGTACTCAAACTGTAAATGTTGTGGATTCACTCTTCAACACACCGGTGGGCTAAAGTAGTGAACTATTTGTCTTTTGTCAACGTGACACTTTTTTTGCTGATTGGCCGTATCGGGTGGTGGAGGGTTACGACACATTTATAAATAACGCGATCTAACCCAAAAACCTTTATTGACATTGTTACGGAAATACAAAACAGAATGTACATAATTAGCTTATTGATACCCATTTAGGCCACCTACGGTAGACCACACCTGTAATATAGCACTTTGGAGACTGAGTCAGTGGATTGTGCAGGAATCATCCTCAAAGCAGAGCTATGAGGTGAATGGTAGAAAATGGTACAGCAATTGTAATGCTGACCTGTCTGCCCAAACTACTGAGAATTATCCATTTACAATAATCGCTTTTATTCCCTCTTGTTATTCACATAAATTTCCACAGATACAATCGTCAACAAAGAACTAGGTGTATAACAGAACTGAAAAAGAGTATTGGGAGTTTAAGTTTTTCCTGCCAAGGAAATTATCTTTGGCAACATCAGCCACAGCCCTACATTGTACCTTGATGTTTAGTAACTTTTTTCTTAAAAAACACAAATACCTTTGCCATGAGGAACCCTTCTGAGAAGAGCATTATTTCACAGATGAGCTGCAAGTCTGGCGCAACGACCATGACTGGCCGGAATAAAGTCTTGATAGACTCGGGCAGCTCAGTGCGGCCAGCATAGCCCAGGTTCATGGTGATGAAGATGCCCATCTTTGAATCCAGTGAAATCTCACTGCCCTCAAACTGACAAAACAAAGACAAAGATCCCCCATATAGCCTTAACAGATTGTTGGGGCAAGTGCTGTTAGCGAGCACCTATGAAGGCCGGCACAGCACGCGAAGGGGTGGGTGGATAGCACCACGCCTGGCCGCCTTGTCTCCCCAGTGATGATGTTTACATACCACACCGGGTACTCATTTGAGGCTAAGTCGACCTAGGAGAGGCCCAGGACCAGTTCAGATAATCGTCACTGGTGTCGGCCGTGAACAGGAATCGAACTCAGGCTGCCGGGTTCATAGCGCAGGACTCCAACCGCTACACTACCACTCCCCACAAACTGAACACACACGCTTATTTATAAAATTATGCTTGGGTGCAATACATGATGTGAATAGTTCAATGTCTATGTTGAATTTGCTATTAAAGTTTAGGAGTTGCAAACTCTAATCACAGCACAACCCAGAAAGTTACATTTGATAATGCAATTTGCCAATGGTGAAACATCATTCATGAAGCATTCTGTGTGTTCTAATACTGTTGAAATAACTCTACAACTGGCTCTGTGGCGTTATCCTTTAAGGGTAATGACTGTGGACATGCAGAAGAAAATGTCTCTGCCTTATGCAGAGACATTTGATTTTTTTCAAACTTCTGTATTTTTGTGAATGTGCCAAAACGTTGCCTGTCATTGTTGTTGCAGTCTACCTGGAATTTAGTGAGATGGTTGATGAGTGCATTTCGAATGGTTTGAATCTGGGACGAAACGACAGATAGCACGGAAGCATCGATGCGGTTGAACTCATCAAAGCAGCCCCAGGCACCGCATTGGGCCAGTCCGGAAAAGATCTTTCCTATAGCCTAGAGCAGAAACATCAAAACAAATGGCATGAACTTTATTTTCTTAATTTAAACATGGTGACCCAACACATATAACTTTCAGCAATACATGTGGCCTTAATTGCGCAATGTGTAGTGGCAACAACCTATAATACAGCCACCTGGGAGTGGAGTTGATCAATGTAAACTGAAATCTCCATAAGACCAGCATGGTAATAAGGTTGTATCCGTAGGAGGCAACACATCAAGGTTTCTGGTGTGCTATCTGTGTCGAGTTCTTTGTAAAGTGTAGATTTACTACAAGTACTCCAGCTGGTTTTTCCCACAAGCAAAACATATCGCAACATTTCCCCAACATGCCACAAAGGACTATACTGATAGTTATTATACTTTCCTGGGCCAATAAAGCATGTTATCTTACACTGTAAAATGTTTTCCTGATTTAGGGAGAATAAGTGTAACAGCATTTGATAAACAGTGCAATTTATTTCATAATTTTTTTAAACAAAATGGATATTTTAGTTTTTAATTTGAATAGAAAAAAATGAATATGAACCTTAGGGGCCGTCCATAAATGAAGTCACACGATTTTTGACCTCCCCTGAAATATGACGTCACAAAGCTCTGCCCCGCCCCCCCCAAAAAACATGCTTCAAATCGCTTTAAACTATTGTCATTGTAGTGCGTATTTAATGTGGCGCTGCACTCTGTTGTTGTAGGAGAAAAAAAATATAAAAAAGTCTATTTAATTAAGTAGAACGTGTTGTCTATATTTATTTAAAGTTGCGCATTTTGATGTGACGTCACATTTCTCAAACCCCCCCCCTCGTCACACATCGTCACAAATGTCTGACCCCCCCCCCTAGGTGCGTGACGTCATTTATGGACGGCCCCTTATGGCAAGACCCCAGGGTCCCATAAGCCCCTGGCTCTCACATAAACTGCGTTGCAACGTAATTTTATGTCTGTTGAAGGCGAACGATACGGCAATCTATTCCTCTCGACGAGCTCTGCTCGATGCGCTAATCAAAGTTTCACAGTTTTGTTTCTTCTGCGCATTCGTCCTCTTTGCGCTTGGACATGACAAAAAAAAATACGCGCCAGGTGGGTCATGCCGTTTACGTGCGCGGTGGGACGGAGTCGCCAAAAATAAATATTTATTACGATTTTGACTTCCGTTTATTCGGGACCCCGGGGTCCCACCATGAGGTTCATATGTCTGATTGCAGGACCTTGTAATCCATGCCCTCGCCACAGTTGGTAACCATGCAGAGCAGTCCCAGGGCTTTCGCCAGGTCTTTAGTCGTCTCCGTTTTGCCCGTCCCTGCAGGTCCAGCAGGTGCCCCACCCAGGAAAATTGTCAGGGCCTGGGCAAAGTTGCATCATCATCAACATTTGTTTTATTACAAATATAATTAATACAGCCTGATCAACAAACAATATATAATACATTGTTTTGGGCAATTAGCATCCTTCAAAGTGGAAGGAAAAACGTATTATAAGTAAAACATGTATACACAATGCTATTGGTGAAAATAGTGTAGTGACATAAGACGTCACCACTGTGTCGGCCCATACGAGGGCTAGGGGCCCACAGGGGGGAACCTGGGGGGTCGCGTGGTGAAGGATTCGGACCTTCGCGGAGGTTCGGAAAGGGAGGCGTGGCCTTGGCAGAGCCGGCCACGCCGGAGCGGTTATAAGCGGGGTGTGAACGCAGAGCGGGGCTGTTCAACCCCGAAGTGAAGACGCCATCATCAGTCCTCAAGTCCCAGGTCGTCGTCCGTGACCAGGCAGCCCGTTGCCTGCCTTGGTCATGCTCTATAGTGTTAGTGAGTTGAAGGTGGTCACCACCTTATGTACAGTGTTATATTACTCACCGTTCTAATAAATGGTGTTGCCTCTAAGCTGTGTGTGTGCACCTAATTCGAACCCACAACATTTGGTGTCGGAAGTGGCCGTCAAACCTCGGCTGCTTAAATTCAAGAAGCGGGAACCCTTTGCTGGCATGGTGTAAAAGCCAGCAGCAGAGTGCAAGACCCAACTGGAGGAGCGGATGGACGGCGAGGGCTGCACCAGAGCTCTTCTTGCGGCGACCCCGGAGTCTGGGGCCCCGGTGATGTGCCCCGGGGGGGAGGGCGATTGCAGCCTGCGCGGGAGGAGGCTGTGGGCTTGACTGGCCGCCATCGATGGAGAGCTGGGGCGACATCGCCGGCCGACTCGACCAGCTGCTGGTGTTGAGGGAGTGGCCGGGTGTGAGTGAGTCAATGGTGGAGCTGCAGGGGGACGTGGCCGCCGTCGGGTCGCTGCGGCGTTCCCGCCATTCCCACGGCTGCAGCGTTTCCCCCATTCCCGCGGCTGCGGCGTTCCCGCCATTCCCGCGGCTGCGGCGTTCCCGCCATTTTGCGCGTGGCTGCGACGCGGCCGTCGGCCGCTATTGTCGCCGCTAAAACCCGGCGACTGCGAGTGGGGTGTGCCTCCCTCGTCGTAGTTTAAGAGGTGTGCTCCGACGTCTGGAGCCTGGGGAGTCGCCTGCTTCATGCAGGAGAGCGCGCCGCCACTGCGCGATGGGCATGCTGCTTGCGGGGGGTGCAGGCCGCGTCGTTGGTGTGACGGGCACAGCGGGACATTGCTTCGAGGGACTTTGCGACGTCGGCCATCAAGTGTTGTGTTCCTCGCTGACGTTCTTTCCCTCCTTGTTTTTTTTTGCATTTTTTGGGATTGTTTGGAGTGTTATATTGTTGTTACAGTGTTGTTATGTTGTGGCTATAGGGATGGTAGCTTGGGGGTTTAGTGTTATGATGTGTTGCTGTTTTTACGTTTTTTGCTGCCTGTCGTGGGGGTCGTTTAGATTGTTTTGTTTATTTTTATAAGGGGACGTTGACAGCCGAGACGGCTGATTTTTCTTCACGGGGGGGGGGGGGGGGGGGGGGGGGGGTGATGTAGAGGAGTAGTGGGATGACGTCATGTCATCTGTCGAGTGGTATGACGTGATGTGATGACGTCATGTCATCGGGGCGGCGGGGTACTTAAGGGGGACCCCGGGATGAGGGCGGGGTTGCCGTGGGGAGAGTGAGGTGGTTGCCTTAGGAGAGTGAGAGAGAGGGGAACGACAGCCTGCGTGGAAGACATCCCAGCCGCCGTCAAAGAAGGGCTAGAGATGTAGAGGTTTCACCTCGTCGCCGGGCGGTAATGAGTGAGCCCCCGCCCGGGGCAGACGAGGTGATAGACATAGGGGAAGCCGTACCGGGGCGTAGATAGCTGAGGGATGTCTGCGTAAAGGACAGAGTACTGACATGTCTAAGCATCGAGTATATAAAGTGGAAACAGAGTGTATAAGAGTGATTTAAAGCTTTCGTGACTGCAGGGATTCATATTCTTGGTTCTTTCGGTAGTCACGTAGAAGGGAAACAATAAAATAACTTTAAAAATATAAAACAATAAAATTCTCACGACGTTTCGACCGCAACACAAGCAATCATCATCAGGTGTGAAAACCACAACACCTGATGATGATTGCTTGTGTCGCGGTCGAAAGGTCGTGAGAATGTTATTGTTTTATATTTTTATTATTTTATTGTTTCCCTTCTACGTGACTTTACCAAAAGAACCAAGAATATGTATAAGAGTGTGTAACAGTTGTGAATAAACCGAAAGCAGCCCTATGTAACAATCCTCGTCTCCATCTTCCTCTACAAATCTCCTGGGTGTCAAGAGTTACTACACAACAATAGTATAGCATTTTAGGTGTGTGCTAAAACACCACTGACAGTGGATTCCTTCCTCTAGCAACTGTCTAGTGATAATGGACTTTATACAAAGGAAAAGCAGGAGGTGACCAGATAACTCAAAAGGCCAGAGTGCTGAGCTGGCATCATTGAATTCCCAGGTTGAAAAATCTATGAAACCAAGTTCTCACGTGTACTGGGTTGACAAAAAAATCCATTATATTAAATTTGGTTCTACACTTAAACTGGCTAAATAACAAATATACAAATATAACTTTGACTGTCATGCGAAGAACATTACTCTTAGTCGAAAGTTACTTTGTGGAAAAGAGGTAGCTTTGCTTCTGTGGGCTGTTCTCTAACATGAAGGGTTGCATTGCTTTTTCCAAAACCTGAATAGATACTTCTTCACGTGACACTGATGACACAATCAGGATAACACTGCGAAAACGAGATTATAAAATCAGGAAAAATACAAAAAAACCACTAACTTGCGTTAGCGTGAGGTAGACGCGGTCCGTGAGTGGCGTGATCACCAGACGACCATTCAGCCCCATGTACTCGTAGCCGTAGCCAAACGTGCCTGTGCACTGTCTCACGGTCAACTCGTCCGGAACGCAGTCCCAGTAGAACCTCAGCTGACTCTCCCATGCAAACTCGTTCACATCCACAATACTGCCAATGGGGCGGGAAATACAGTGTGGTGTTGTGAGCAACTTTGTGTAATGCCCAAATGTTAAAGCCAGAAGAACTTTTTTGTTCTTGTCTATTTATTAATCTACTGATGAGCCCTAATATGGTGAAACCAATTCAGTGTTTGTGCGCATAAACAATGTTGCTGGTAAACATAAGTCTGGAAGGCCACTTTGACAAAAGGCTAATGGATGTTTTAGATTCATGTGGCGATAAAAACATAAGGTTATTTTATTCCAGAGAATACTCCACTATGGTACTCGGTGAAGTTGTATAGGCCTACGATGATGCATTGATTAATCTATTAAAATCACTTATCTTTGTAATACAGTACATGCATTAAAATTGCATGTTCAAATTGATACATTTTTATTCATTTATATATGTAAAATGTAATTAATTCACGTCATGTCTACAGCGTGCAATGCACCATACAGTTGATTTCTGAATCTAATCAATCATGACCCCGAATTGTGACAATTCATCAAATGAGGTGGGAGAATCATTACAACCCTAGAAGCGTATATTTCACAAAAATGTCCAGAACACATGAGATATGAAGGGTCTATAAACAAACCTAGGAGTGTCTGGGTGAATTTAATAAATTGTTTAACGTAACTATTAAAAAAAACACAATTATGAAATAAGTTTGGCTCGCTGCTAAAGAAAGCTGCTAAAGACCGTCCGGCATGGCGTGGGCTTGTTGTGGCCACAGGGAGCGAAGTGGAGTAAGTAAGTTGGCTCACATTGAAAAACACACACATACCCTGAAAATACACATAGCCATCTTGGCGCACTCGCCGTGTAGAAGGCTCGGCGATCTTGCATTGACATGCTAATTTTTATTCTATGGGTCTTTTCAGTCAAGCCACGTAGATAGAAAAATAATAAAAATATCACGACGTTTCGATCGCAACACAAGCAATCGTCTTCAGGTGAGAGAGGATACACACCTGAAGACGATTGCTTGTGTTGCGATTGAAACGTCAATATTTTTGTTATTTTTTTCTGTCTACATGGCTTTACCCAAAGTATACATCTCAGCCATTTAAACTTGAAGTATTGCTCATTGGCATGAGTGAAGAATGGTTCGTACAGCTATGCAAAGGTTCATATGAACTGATCTGTGGCACATAAATCAATAAAAGTCAGTAAAAGCTGTGACGCACCTGTCCCTTACGAGGATGTCCACAATATCACGGGCATGCACGTCGATGATGAGTGCGGTGTTGTACTTCTTGCGGTTGTTGCTACTGAGAGGCTGAGAGCTTCTGGAAACCAGCTCATTGATCTGACGGTGCAGCTTAGTGGAATAGCTCTTCATAGCCAGCTTTTGGCCTTTGCCAATCTGACAGAACATATCTTCCACCTCCCAGGTCCACCAAACCTGGGTTGCAGCCAGCACCACCATGCCCTGAAGTGGAAGCATCCAGTCCACTCTGCAAGCACCAGGAAATGCAACACACTGATTGCAAAATACTGAAGACCCAATTTATTTGGGTTTTTGGCCATCATTCTGCGTTGTTATGGTATATTGGCCCGATTCTGCCAACTGAAAGTTATGAAGGAACATTACCTACAGTAGTGGACCATATTGTGCCAAGCCTCAGTCCGCAAGGTGGATATGATGGAGTTGAGTGGAGCTACGAGGAGCCCCAAAATTGGAAAATTTCACTGGGGTAAAAGGAATGTTTGGTCATAAAAAGGTCAGGTTGAATATTTGTGGGCAGAGACCACTGACTGGGCAGACATTTGAGGTAGTCATGGTCGAGAAAATGCAGTTAAAGGGTCTCAATTATTGTGATATTATTGTTTTGTGAGATTTGCTGCGACTTGAAATGTTCCAGTATTGTTAGACAGGTAAGGAAATAATCATAATCGAGATTGTAGCAAATAACATGAAACTTGGCCCAGCTATGGTAGAAGGAAACATGGATACAACTTAATGTGTATAAAGTTATGGAGCCCTGCACACTTTCTGTAACCTTCATTTTCAGCAAGTGAGAAAATATATTTTTAAACTTATTGTGTGATTTAGCCCGTGGGATTTTAGCTAAAATCGATTTCACCTACAGTGGCAAAAACATTAATGGTATCAATTTCATCATTTGGCTAATATGAATTACCTGCTCATAGTTATTCAAAGATATGACCACATAATTCACTTTTTTTTGAAAAATGGTATTGCTAAATCCTTGGCCAAGTCAAGCTTGTATCAACAAATGGCATTTCTAGTCTGGATTTGTGTTACTAAGTCCCAATCCTAGAAAGTATACTTTTGGCTTATAAAAATTATACATTTGCAGGTGGGGGCATCCAGTACCTGCTTTTGTCCTCATAGTATGTGAAGATGGCCTTCTTGGTGATGAACTTATTGGTGGACCGCATCTCATAGAGCACTTTCGTCATCCAGTCCTCCACATAGCCCTCGGCCAACACTGGCCGGCGGAAATTCATCACCTCACCCTCGGCTGACAACATCCCCGTTACCTGTGTCTCAGAATGGCTGTCTGTACAGAAGCTCAGAGATGCGATGTTGTCGTACATCTGCAAGGTACACATGCGGATACAAAAACTGCTCAGCGCTCAAAATACTCATGTGATAAGTGGACGTGGGTCATGACGCCAAGTAGAATTTTCTCTGTAAGGGATAACATGGATCATGGCATGTCAAAGCTGAGAGTTCAGAATCAGAATCTTTATTTATATTGGAGGAATCCGATGAGCTATGAAGCTATTTTCAAAAGTAGGGGCAGGTCAGAAAGTTACAATAAGAGACCATACATAACACGATAGGAGTTCAAAGTATAGGGAAGATAAATCACAAATTTTTTTAAAATAGAGTATTTTTATTTTACCAGGTAAAGCCCACTGAGCTATTAGCTTCTTTTTCAGAAGTGACCTGGCCAAAAATGATAACACAACGAAGTGGCTCATCATGTAGAAATGTACAGCAGTCAAATAATCAAAATAATCTTGCTTGTATATGGTCATCATATTACATGTACATATACAGCTCTTTGTCAACTCATGAATAGTCTCCTCACATCATATTGTTAATGGAAGTTGTTTTGACCATACTTCGCCACATTGGTTAGTAAGAGTTTGGTGAAGGGAACCTCAACACCAATTCAGATATCGCTTGCTACCGATGTTCGCTATGGCTGGGAATCAGACCCAGGTATCTGGGTTGAGTGCACAGCTAGTGTACCTTGATCATGTGCTCCTGCACGCAGCAGGGGTTGCTGCTACCCAGGATGCTCAGCAGCTCATCATCGGAGATGAAGAAAAAGCGTGGGAATACATTGCGCTTTGAGTCCAGGTAGTCGTTGAGGCTCTTCTGGCAGTTCTCCAGCCCCTCGCACAGATTCATCAGTGATGATAACCGATTTGGTGCCAGGCAGCAGTGCTTTATGAGTGGGTCCTTTAGTGTCTCCAACATGATCTACACCAAGGCACAAAATGGGTTTACATGAAGTGGTCTAACACTTGTCATCAGCGGGTGTCGTCATATTATATTTTTCTCCATGTGTATATGCATGCATGCCTCCATCCTGCCACTTGATGATGGAGATACTCTTTGGTTCTATTCGGTAAAGTCACGTAGGTAAAAAATAGAACCAAATAGAACCAAAGAGTATGGATCCTTGCAGTCACGAAAGCTTCAAATCTAGAAGATGATGGAGATGTTAATGGATGAAAAATATAAGAGCTAGGACTGCATATGGCTTGTCCCACACTGGTTGAAATGTCATGAATGGGCAACTTAAAACATTGACCTCTAAGAACCCACAACCCATGTACATAAAAGTGACAGAACTCAAGTTTGGATTAAAACCAAAACCGTTCGGTACCTTCCTAAACATCTTGTCCATGCTGTCGAAGCATTTGGCTTTCTCTGGTAACTGTGACCTGATATCCTCTCCGATAAATATACTCTCGAGATATATCCATTTACTTTGTACCACCAGCCACATCTGTATCGAGAAGACATGTAAATGCTTGGCTATGAAGCAAAGCCAGATTTTAACTAACATTACAATGAGCATCCTTTGTGCATTTGATATGTGACACGTGTATCTTCACATATTTCACTTGTCATGAGTACTTGTATACATATTCTTAACTTCCCTGTGTGTATTCATTTGGGTCACTACAATCGATGTTGAAATGGGATTCTGTACCATCAGTATCATTACACTTATAAATAGCACATATTACATTATGCCCTAAACTGGCATAGCTATTGAATGAATATTAATAAGTGCCAAAATGAGACTGTCTTAATTAAGTGCGTGCAAGACTCTGCATGAATATAGAGATGAAGGAGAAAATGCCAGCATTTTTAACCAACAAGGTTAAGCAAGAGGCATTTCCTATATAACTGTTAATTACCCAGTAAAATGAAAGTGCCCAGAGAAAATCCACAAGTATATAGCATATGTCAAAAACATACTGGCTGTTCTAACTCCAATTGTTGAAGGTGTCTCATGAACTTGACAGAATAACTCGTGTGATTTATTAACCCACATCCCAAATATCCAGATTAAAGGCATATATCATGGCTACTGCACATGGAAAATTTCAGAATGAACTATCATGAATGCACATCCGATTAGCGCCCGCACCTCTGATTAGTGTTGGCTATGTACGGTGTGAAAGAAGTTCAACATACATAGATACCCACAACAAAATGTCATGACCCAGCAATTTGTGAGTGAAGTGAAATACCTCAATGATTTCTCTGATGAGGGACAGGGATTTTTCACAGCTCTGCACAGCGCCAAGGAAGGGACCAATAAAGCGGCTGCCGGCCATTCCCTGCAAGATCATGGTTTGGTCGTCAAGCATTTGTACGATCTCAGTTGTGGCGTCCAGCACATGTCCTCGTCCCTCCGTCCCCTTCATGTGCTGTGTAAGTGTAAACTCCATGCTTTTCCATGTATCCTCAATCTCCTTTATGCCCTGCTCACTCAAACGCATGCATGCAAGTTCCTGCTTAAATCACCAACATTTTTCCAATCTCTTTATTGTCAATCCCAGCGATCATTGAAAATATTTAATTTATTCATCAAGCTAAGGCTCAGAGTTACAAAGGCTCTTTTGCTGGGTTAAAGTCCTGCTCTGAATAAGTCAATTCCTTTTTGAAGAATGCTTCTTTGAATTCACGGGAAAAACCCAAACATGTTTTGGGAAAACTATTTTTTTTAATGTGGATCCTTCATTGTGTGTGCCTCACTCACATGATAGAGTTGAAGTCATGTTTTTGTTTAAAAAATGCCTTAACCAGTACTTTGGATACATAATTTAGATGACTTAAAATAGGTCTTCATGGATTGTTCTCAATATTATGTACTTCAATTATGTGGTATCAAACAAAAACCTTTTCTATGCTAATCTCCTTAGCAGCAGTGGTGATGATCTCCGGGATCTTGGCATTGTGCTTGTGCAGTTCCATAGAAAACACATTTTCCAGTGTAAACTTGTCAGGATCCAAGTCACAGCGAATGCCAACCATGTCCATTAGCTTATTCCAGTGTCTGCAAAGTGTAAAATACAATCACATATTTCGGTATACGTAACAAAGATATTCAGACATGTTTGCATATGTTTAGCAAAAAGCTGTATACAGTGAACTCCTGACTATCTATGGTCAGGTAGAGAGAAAATTAAATAAAATATTTTAAAAATATTTTTCTTTTTATTTTGTATTACTTTTATTTTATTTTCTATCTACGTGACTTTACAGAAAGAACCAAAAAAGATGAATTCCTGCAGTCACGAAAGTTTTAAGTCAAAATTTATCTATGGTCAGATTATCCAGCGGATTAACTATGCTGTTTCACGTCTTTTCAATCGCTAGTTTAATAGCTGCTCTTCACTTGTACTGGGTCAGATACTCGGTGCCCACCTGACGGCAAACATGTCAGCTAATAATCTGATTACTTTAAAAAACAATAATACCACATGATGCATTGTGCATTTCCACACCCATTCTACATAGGTAAATAAAATCATCCTTTTATAGACTTATTTACATATCGTTTACATTACCCATGTTTTTGTTAAGGTAACCCTGCCCCCCATTACTCTGGATGGTAACCAATTCACTATATACAATTTACAAAAAACACAAGTTCAGTTAAGTGAACATTTTGATCATTGGTAGATGTTACTTGGTGCGGCTGCTCCTTCACAATTATCCTATGTACACAGCTTGCCAAGTACAGGCGATCATTGGTGGAATGTGGCCTAAAACAACATCCGCATTTAGCCTACAGCCCAGGCTGGAGTGGATGGATTAACTTCCGACCAGATACTGAATAACTGTTCCTGTGCTTATTGGCCATGGTTACTGTATTAGGGAAGGCAGTATACAGATAGTTTAACACAACGCTTCGCAACCAATATTATTCATAATAAAGGTTTTTGGGTTTGATCGCGTTATTTATAAATGTGTCGCAACCCTCCAGCACCCGACACGGCCAATCAGTGCGGCCTGGAAGTGTATTATTAAATAATACATATTACAATTCCTTTTCGGGGAAACACATACTAATTGACTGATTACTAACGTAGTATATAATTACAATAACCCCCCCCCCTGCGCCACCTCTGATTTCTGCACCTGATTGGGTAAAATGACGTCACCCTGCTGCTCCATTTAAGACCGGGAGCAGGCAAATTGCCCGATGATGCTGGATGTAATTACCAGCTAAACGTCGTACTCAAAAATTGTACGTGTTGGGGATTCACTCTTCAACACACCGGTGGGCTAAAGTAGTGAACTATTTGTCTTTTGTCAACGTGACACTTTTTTTACTGATTGGCCGTGTCGGGTGGTGGAGGGCTATGACACATTTATAAATAACGCGATCTAACCCAAAAACTTTATTGAGTATACAGATAATTTATGTACAATGTTGTCCACTGTGAGAGTCAAATGGAGCTCTGCCTTAATAAAATACAATGATTAGCCAGGATTGATTGGCCTATTGGAATTGTATTTGAATATACTAGGTGTACTCCCATATGGTTTCTAGAACCCTATAATAGAGGCCACTTGACCACAGCTTTCAAGAGACTCCAATTCATGGACATATTCCTTTTCCTACAACAAGACAGGGGTTGGTTTTTGGAACACACCTATCATGTCCATGCTGTGCTTCACTTTGTGTTCACTGTCATCATGGAAAGGGGTTGAGCAAACACATAGAAATCAACAATGGTTCAAATGAAACTTCGACTTTGGAGTATGCAGAATATGCAATGATCATGGCAAAAGCAACGCAACTTTTGACACTGATGTTCGAAGACTGGACATTGAGTCCTTAAAATGAGATTCCCAGTGTTGAGATAAGGATATTATAAATGGTCACTGCAGGTGTCAGGAAATGATGATGTGAAGGTAATAGAGGATTTCATGAGTTCAGAGAGTAATATACGCGTAGGGACAGTGCGGAGAGAGAGGGATAATTACAGGAGGGAACTATCGAGGAAGTTCGGGATTGGCCGAGACAATTCTAGAAAGGGGGCATGGCAGGGGGCCGAGCGAAGCCACGCCGGAGGAATATAAGGCGGCGGGCTAGGGAGCTTGGGGCTGCCATGGGATCGGGATGGACTGTCTCCACGCCGTCATGGTATTTGGGCCGTCGCTGTCTCTGCGTCGTCGCTGTCTTCACGTCGTCTCTACTTGGGTGGCCTAGCCTAGGTATCTGTATGTTATCCTAGCCCAAGTATCTGTATGTTATCCTAGCCCAAGTATCTGTATGTTATCCTAGCCCAAGTATCTGTATGTTATCCTAGCCCAAGTATCTGTATGTTATCCTAGCCCAAGTATCTATATGTTAGTCCTAGCCCAAGTACCGTAGGATATGAGCCAACGTTATCTGCGCGACGTGCCTTGATAAATAAATAACGAAGACAATAAGTTGTCCGAGAGTCATTACATACGTAATGATTGTGAGTAGCAGGTCAAGAGACAAATGCATGTATCAGGGTGAGTTTTAAAAAATGTTACGTAAGCTACTGTAAAAGTAACTGGCCCACTTTTGTGTTAAGAACTATGTGCTTGAGACAAGAGTAACATCATTTTTTATTAATGGGTCAGGAAGCTGAACTTAAGCGAATCAATGTATGGCCTTTGAAAATAGGTACTTTCAAGTATTCCTAGGAAATACATGGTAGCATAAGGTGAATGACTTGGAAGATTGGAATAGAACATGGCAACAAAGCATTGTGGACGATATGATAAAGAGGACGTTGTTCGGGTGGACATACAGTATATAAAGAATGAAGGATGGTTACCAATACAGGTACTGCATTGAAAACACAAAGATTGGAAATAAATCGTACTTTAAACCAGATGGTTGAATATTTAAACTATCACGGGATCGAGCAGAAGTGATGGGGGTTGTGGTGGAATCAACAGCTGTGGTGGCCCTTGACCTTTATGTATCAATGAAAACCTAGATGAGTTTCCAATCTCAATTCGAGAGGATCCTTCTTGAAAATTTTTGATAATTCTCGATTAGTTTACAGTATTAGGGGAAACAAGTGAAAACCTAACACACAAAAATGACAGCATTCATACGTGCATTAAAATGGATTAGCAGCATACTTTCTGAACTCTCTTATACAACACTAACTGCACCTGCACGTAATACCTCTCCTGCAGTGCCTCTGCCTTCAAATATGCCAGCAGAGCCAATGCACTGGTGAAGTCGTTGATCTTAGCCTCCAAGAATAATGATGCAGACATTTCCCTGACCATCTTTGGGAGACTGTGCAGCGACTTCATGAGCACATCCACCCCCTCTTCATAATTCGACATGTCCAGGTCACGCCACAGCATCTGTGCCCACTTTTGTTTTGTGGCCTGCTCAGTAGTGTTTGTGGAGGAATCGGAAAGATGCAAATCAAAAAACTTGCTACGTCTTGTTTTCATCTTATTCCAGTAATTTGCCATATATATTTGAATCCATAAATATGTTTTGACTAGTGCAGCCCGTGAGGCCAAGCAACAGCAGTCCCACTATGACTTGGGTTACCTCTGCAATGCCACCATCACACAAATGCTATATCCCACTCTCCAAACTAACATTTGAAAAATGACGATGCTAAGAACCCTACAGTTTCCTTAACCTATTGGTTGGACTCTCTAAAAAATGTTACCATTCAAATTGTATGCTATCATGTCATAGAATGGTCTACTCTTTTGAATAAGATAAGCATCCATAAGAACACTGTTTAGCTGATGGTAAACAATGTGCAACAATCGGCCAGCTATTGGGAATTCAACTAAAGACCATTACTAACTGGCTCATTGCCTACTATGATTACCACTTGGATATCCAGCCATGTATTCAAGCTGCTGACCTTCAGTTGACTGTAAATGTTGTAGATTTCTTTCAAGTCCTTTATTTCGGTTTGAATATTAACAAGTTCTGGGCAAGCAGTAATTTGGAGGTCAAATAGCTTCTCTGCATTTGTCAGTTCCTTTTTCCTTTTTTCATACTCATCAGCTTCATTGTGGAATATCACCAAAACTTCCAGGCCTGTAGGGAGTCACAGCAGTAAACCAATGAGACTTTTGAAATATTTGTTTCCATTCAAGTATAGAAACCCTGTTTGAATAGCATCCAAACCAACAGTTTAATCGAATGAGGTCTGCGTTTAAGGCTACTTTTAAAACGTTATTCTCACATGATTTAGATAACTGGCCTTTTTGTTAAATGCAAGCTAACTAAAATTTAATATAATTCATAGCCAATACAAATGCAAACCTTTACTAAAATCTGTTGCGCTGACTACGACATTATAGAATAAGATCAAAAAGAAATATCAAACCTTTGTCAAAGTTAGGTCCAAAAGAGACAGGGCCCTCACAGCGGAACCTCTCAATAAACTGCATCAGGTCTTGCTTAAACACGCTCATATCATCTGCAGTAATCTGTGAAAACATGGAACCGTACATGTATATTCGTGAAAAAAATAACATGACACTTTTTGTTTAGTTAATGACAAACATGAGCACGCCTCACCTGCATAAAGTGTTTCTTCAAAGGGGTTAGGTTGTAGTTGGTTTTCTTCGAGTCCATTATCAGGTTTTCCCATAATGATTGCACATTAGCAAGAGCTTCAATTTCTTCTTGTGTTAACTGAAACAGATCTTTTATTAAATTACATTTTTTTCACACAGATATTAAGTGTTTGTTAAGTGTAACGCCACTAATATTTTATTCTTATACACGGGTATTTGATAAAAAAATATATATTTTATCCATTGACAGCTTAAGATGTTACACTATAAGATATGACGATTAATACCAGCGTCAACTAACACTATCGCAGCCATAACAACTCGGCACAGTAGCATCAATCATACACAGGCAATACTGTCCCTTACAAAGGCTTTAACATACCTCTATATATAGGCAGATAGCAACATGACATGTAATAATATACTTACTTCAATGTCAAACAGAACCAAGTTGTGATATTTCTCTTGGATGTCCTTCAGCATCAGCTCCATAGTGAGAGACTCCTCCATAATGCTGGAAATGGTGCCGAGGATGAGCTTTATGTCATTGAAACTCTGAGGTACCTTATTCAGGGTTTGCCTCTTTTCCTGTAGATAATCACCAGTCAGAATAAATGCCTTAAAAAAGACAAGTCGCAGATTTTGCTGATCTGTAGTCTTAACATGAACCTTATGGTGGGACCCCGGGGTCCCGAATATACGGAAGTCATAATCGTAAATTAACTTATTAAATTCTGGCAACTCTGTCCCACCGCACATTAACGCCGAGATTCACCTGGCGCGGATCATTCTGTTGTCATGTCATCCAAGCACAGTGAGGACGAATGTGCAGAAGAGCTGAACAAGCAAAACTTTGATTAGCGTATTGTGTAGAGCCCGTCGAGAGGAATAGATTGCCGTACCGTTTGGCTTCAACAGACATAAAATGACGTCGCAACGCAGTTTATGCGAGAGCCGGGGGCTTATGGGACCCCGGGGTCCCACCATAAGGTTCTATATCACGAGTAGATTTACAGCCAATGAGCTTCTCATGTCAAAACCAAATCAATACTGTACATATTACAAATGAGTGTAATTCACAGGAAACTTCCTAACATAGGCTCCTGTGAGACAAACCAAAGCAGAAAACATTCATGTATATATTTGTAAAAATATAACACTATTTAAATAATCATCATCCTGATTATGGGCGCTTGTGTTGTGCCCGAAACGTCATGATTTATTTTATTTTATACCTACGTGACTTTACCTAAAAAACCAAAGAGTATGGATTCCTGCAGTCACGAAAGCTTCAAATCAAGATATAAATAAGAATTCACAAAATAGAGCATGTCTACTGGAAATACTGGAATTTTTACCACTGGCTCATTATCACCAATGCAGATGAGTGCGACTAAAATGCACTCCAGTATATGTGGACTCTTTTTGCCTTTTTGACTTATAAAAGAGATACATCTTACCTATAAAAGTAATTTTTTTGTCTGTGTGTCTGTCTGCCTGCACGGGTACCTTGAGACTTTTTAATTGACAAACTGTGGGGTTTACGTATCAAAAAAGTACACGGATACCACGTCGTATGTTCCTTTTATAAGAACGCATCTGCGCATGCGCGAGAAAGTCGGCTCCGGAGTGGTGGTTGCCTTAGCAACACACACGCGATCGGTGGGGGGAATTCTCATTCGCATTAAAATTCAGCAAAAATACACAACGCTGAGGTAAATTCCTCACAGTGTGATGTCCTCTTCTCCCCAATGTGTGCACTTACTACTATAGGGTCAGTAGATACTATTATAGTCCTTAGATACTATTACTGTAGAGCGGGCGGGGGGATGGTGGGGGGGTAGCAGCGAGGCCGGGGGCTCTGCACGCGACTAGGCCTCACCACGGCACTCGCTGTAGTAGTTTATTATAAAGTTGGTATATACGACTTTAGAGTCGGTAGATACTACTGTAGAATCAGTAGATACTACTATATAGTCATAGATACTGCTATAGAGTAAGCAGATACTACTATAGAGTAAGCAGATACTGCTATAGAGTCAGCAGATACTACTATAGAGTCACTAGTTACGACTATAGTAAGTAGATACTATAGAGTAAATACATACTACTATAGAGTAAGTAGATACTACTGTAGAGCCAGATACTATTGTAGAGTCAGATACTTCTATAGTCACTAGATACTCCTCACTCTCTTGTATGTAGGGTGTGTAGGTATATATGCCTACGCGGGGGTAAAACCATTTTTTGAGGTGAGAGGGGTCGATAATTTTTCGGAAACCTTTTATATCAACAATTTACCCTCCACTTTTTATAACTTTTTGGACTTCTGCAAGCCTCTTATAATTTTGTTGATGGACAAATGGACAAACGGCACACCGTGCTTTCACAATCGCTTAGTATTTGTGTATGTATATGTTGTTTTTAACAGACGCTTTGAAATATATTTTTTCCCCGGACAACGCCGGGTACTTCCCGCTAGTCACTGATAAATACAAAAAAAAATCTGCCACCATGTTTCCCCGTTCACGTCTTGCACTCACCATGAGTGAATTGTGAAAGTCAAACAGGTTTTTTCTGTTGACTTGATTGAGCATCCTGCTCAGAGAGACCTGCACCGAGTGCAACTTGGTCACGAGTGATGAGATGAGCGGTGTCAACTGCAGCCTTATGCAATGCTCATCCCAAGTGTTGGGCTGTGTCTGGATCTCGGCTCGCATGTTTGAGTACAGTTTCAGTTTTCCTTCGTACATCGCACAACTCGGACTCTTAGCTGCAACCCGCTGCAGCATTAGATTCTGGGGATAACGGGGAGTCAGAAATCAACAAACAGAAAGGAGCACTGACTGGTGAAAGTTATTCTCAGGGTTAATAAATAAAGAGCTCCGAGAGTCTGAATTTAAAATAAATAAATCGGCAGCTCATGACACAATAATCCTTTCAGACCACCTATTTCTTATTTTATCTCACTCCCTTGCTCAGTCTGTCCTATTCCCATTTCCGCCTTTGTATTTCTCTGAAACATGTGTTAAGTTATTGGAGCATTGAAAACTATTGTTGGCAATACAAGATTGTCTCAAACAAGCACTTCACACCTGGTCAAGTTTCCAAATTGTATTGAACTTCTTCCAGCTTATGAGGTACTTGTTGATATTGCGCAGAATCTGCTGCATCGTGAGGGAGATGAGATTGAGATGAAACAATATCTGAGGGTTCTGAGAGATGTCGTCGAAAAAGCTGAGAACTACAGGTTCGTCCTCATTGGCTACGAACTGAGGCGGTGTTTCGATGCATGTTCCATCCATCCAGCGTACAAAACTCTGTTGGGCCAGCAAAATTTTAAAATACACATCAATGAAAAATCTGATATAATTGAGCACTGCATGTACCAAAACTCTGACTACATTGCTTTTTTGGTTCAGTCACTAAGGTGTGTTAGGGTACCTTAGTTGAAGCCAGACAGTTTTTTGCTGAATTAAGGGCTAGAATATGGATATCATAAGGAAGAGGTTGCAACACCACGTTTGGTGACGATGGTATGGTATGTACAACAAATAATGGTTTTTCACTCTGTAAATTAGAATTACAGTTATTCAAATTTCTGCAAGAAAAAAAATCAGCAAGAGTTATATATATTTAAAAATTCTTATAGAGAATAGTAGTTTTTACTCTTTCCCCATTATATACTTGGGTTTCTCTATGAAACCTAGCTATTACAAACATTCCAACATCTGAAAAAACATTCAATTGGCCAAACAGAATAATTCCCTTTCCTTGGAAGACAAAGCAATCATCATGAAACTATAAGAAAAGGTAAAGAATGATGACTGCACCTGAGCACCATACTTGTGAGCGCATCATAGATTCGTCTCTCCCAGTAAGTGTAATAATTGGCAAGCTGGGGAGACCTGCCCGTGCTGGTGAAGGCCACTAGGCCTTCCACCTTTACCAGCAGTGGGCTGATTGCCTGCACCTCTCTCAGCAGCAGCTCCACATCCCTCTGTCGCTCACACTCCATGGACTGAAAAAACTCCCTCGCACCTGCCACTCGGCACAGACGATCAACAAATCTATTCGGAAATTATCACAATATAATTTCTTAACTGTTCAATCTAGTACTGCTTGGTGACATGCAGATTTGATAGAGGCAGTATACCGGAGTGTAAAAGCACATGCAATTATTGCATTCATATTTATTACCCATGGTTGGTTACTTCATGACATTTTGATAAAATTATAGAACATCAGGTGTACCACTTCAAACTCTGGTTATATTGTGAAAAAGCAGTGGGCAAACAAAGACTGCATGCATCCAATAACATAGCAGTGTCTAAAAAAATGTACTGCAAGAACTGAACTGAAACAAGGGAGCTGGGAAGAACGGTTTAGGACGTTTCTCCCACTACTCTTAAGCTCTTTCACAAGTTGCTTTAGTTTTTACTTTAAACATGGTCCTGTATGACTCAAGCAATTTTCAGCAAATCAGATGTTTTTAATATATTGGCTGTAAAGGTACTTTTTCATAATTTTCTTAAATTTATATTTCTAGCATCATTATTATTATTAACGTGCTCGTGTCTGAGCACGTGTGTGCGAGAGGTCCCTTCGCATGCCCTATTACGTAAATGGCTCCTTCTTCTCCTTTGGAAATTTATGTTATGACGATTGTGAAGACTACATGTGAGTGAAATAAATTTTCACTTGTCACAACTAGAAATAAAGAACTCACATTTTATATAAAGCTTATATTTGTAGATATGTGGAAGAATGACACCAAGATATAGATATATAATCTGACAAAACATTTAAGTATCTCTGTAGGAAAAAAACATCACATTGGGAGAAACTAAAAAGCACAGTATGTACAAAAACACCTTATTCACTGCAGCTATACTCACTTGAAAGTTCCCCGTGCATTGAGGAAGGAATTCTACACAAGATTGCTGTCTCAATGGCTGTTAACTTGCATTCCATAAGGGAAGCATTTCTGTGCACTTGTGCTACAAGTTTTTCAAACTTGGTGATCGCTTGTCTCAAACGAGAGATGTAGTCTCTAACTCCTGTTAGAAAAGATAAGTGTTCATGAACAGTCAAAGTCACGTGAAAAAAATCAATCATGTCACATATTTGGGCAAAACTGATGGTTGCCATTACTGGGTCATCAGATAAAACCTACCTAGGGAGTTCCAAAATATTCTATTGAGCCCTGGCGACAAGATGCTTTGCAATTGATTAATCTGCTGGTCCAGGAGTTCAGATTCAGCTTCATTTATAGAGTTCAGCACGGCACGATAATGTTGTAAAGTCATTTTGAGGGCATCTTTATTCCTGAAATGTTGCAAATTAATTTAGGTTATGTATACAGAGTACAAACAGAAAAATGAGCACATGAATCAGGGAACAAACAGAAAGCAGAGCCATCGCTAAAAAGGATGATGACTACAAGTAATGGAATGGCAGCCAAAGTAGAGAATGTGCACAAGAGTATGCTCACGATGAAGATTGCAGAATGAGACTCAAATCACAACTTAGCTGTGTAGAAGTAGGAGTGGCATTGAGAGGTAAACGAGCAAAAGGGTAACTTTTATATGAATTATAAAATATTAATACAGTAATTATTTTTATATTAATACGTATTTAAAAAATATTATAAATATTGTGAAGAGCATACATTTTACTATTACACTTCTTAGGATCTAGTGTGAAATACAGAGGCTGAATAAATTACGTGTATTGCATTGATCAAAAGACCTAAACACTTCATTTATTTCATTATTAAAGGTACTCCAGCTAAGTGCAGAAAGAAAAACGAGGAAACCTGATGAGACTT